CAGACAAGCCCTGACTCCCGTGCCCTCCGGCCGAGTCATATTCTGTGTGCAGTGTGCTGTGCTCCCGGACGGCAAAGCTGAAGGTGTTTGCGTCCCTCTTCCATCCCGGCTTACCTAGGAGGCCCACACCTGCATCTCACACCCCCTCCACACAGGGAGCCATCCTATTCCCTGCCACCCATGCCAGGCCTGGGGCTTAGGTGGGCCTGGCAGGTGCAGCCCCCTCGCCCCAGCCCTTAGCATTGCTCAAGTTCTCCAGAAGAAGCCTGCCCCTCCCAGCTATGCCGTGGGAGCCAGGGAAGGGCTTGGCACTCCTGGGGTGGGCTGGCGTGGAGGCAGCAGCAGACCCAGAGTGAGGGTCCTGGGATGCCAGCAGGAGGCTCTGCCTGCTTTGCCCAGCCCTGAGCAGGAGGAGGCCTGAGCTTGGTCTCTCTCCCTGGAGACACCTTCCTTCTCCACTTTGAGTGCAGCAGGACCCAGAGTGGGACATCTGAGGAGTGGACTTGGCCAATGGTGAGCCTGAGGCCCTTCGGCAAGGAGGACTCGTGGCCCCCTGTCTTAGGGAAGGGATGCATACCAGAGGGCGGGCCTGGCAGGGTGGAGGCTCTGCCAGGCTTAATCTGAGCACTGCCCCCCTCACTTCTCTGTCCTTCTCTGCCACATCAGCAGAATGCCTGCGCCAGTGTCTGCAAATCCCCCAGCCCCTCACAGTGATGTGCACTCTGCTCCTGTGGCTTCTGCTCCAACTCGCGTGGTCTGACACCAGTGGGAGCAGGTCTGGAAGTAGGCTCCGGCGCCACCTCATTGGCTTCTCGTTCCTCTTCTGTCCAATCAGGGACCCTTCCTTGATGTTGCTGGGCAGCCTGGAGAGGAGGCCGCCAGCGGAGACAAGGTGGAGAGGGAGCAGGCTTGGTGGAGGAGGTTCCTGTCACCGTGCCCCTCCCCAGCTTCACTTGCCTGTTCTCTCGGCCGCCCCGCAGCCTGCCTGCCCCAGGAGACACCTGCTGGTTGATGGAAGAGGGAGAAAGAATGGGAGGAAAGGCAGGAGGGCGGGCAGGGGAGCCCTGCATGGTTTCTGGTCAAGAGACTGCGGTCCTGGCTGGTGTTGTCTGAGGGTGGGGGCTTGCTTGGAGTTGGCATGGTAGGGGTTCCAGGGGTGTGCGCTGAGGGACAGAGCCCAGCTATTCTTTTAGGGGCCCTAGCCAGGCCCCTCAGCAAAGCAGTGTGGGATTTCCCAAGGACCGAAAGATTTCTCGCTACCAAGGGAGAAACGGGCCCTTCTGCTGTGAAGGTGTCCACGGAGTGGCTGTCCCAACTCAAACTACGCTCACATGGGCCGTTTGGAGGATGAGGCCACGCCCCAGTATCAAGACATCTATGCTGTGGGATGGGGAAGAGTTGGGGCCAGCTGCCAGGGAGCCTGGCCACAGGGCTGTGCCACCTTACAGAAAGCGGGCTGCTTAGGGAAGGGGGCAGGAGAAGTGAGCAGAGGACAGTTGTTTGCTGGGCACCTCCTCTGGACGTCAGGGCTGATGGGTTCCTGGGGCTGCTGGAACAAAGGGCCACACGCTTCGTGGCTTAAAACAGCAGACATTTATTATCTCACAGTTCTGGAGGCCAGGCCTTACTTTCTCCAGAGGCTCTAGGGGACAATCTTTCCTTGTCTTTTCCAGCTTCTGGGAGCCCCAGGTGTTCCTCAGCGTGTACACGCATCTTTGTGTGGCATCCTTTCTCTGCCTGTGTCTCTCCTCTTTTATAGGACACTACTCAGGTGGTATGGGGTCGCTATGAGTCGGTATCAACTCGATGGCAAGGGTTTGGTTTTTTTTGTTTTTTTTTTGTTTTACTCAGATGGGATGGGGACCCACCCTACTCCATCCAGTAGGACCTCATGTTTACTGATGACATCTTCAAAGACCCTATTTCCAAACATGGTCACAGTTACAGGTACAGGGGTTAGGACTTCAACAGATCTTTTGGGGGAACACAAGTCAACCTGTAACACAGGTCATGTCTGGGAAGACTTGGGTCAGCAGTACCAAGGAGCTAGGATCTGTGATGTTGGAGGGGGCGGTTAGCAGAGAGGAGAGCTCCGTAGGCACAGAGGTGGCCTGGGGGGCGGAGGCCCAGGCTGGACCCGTCGGGCAGGGCAGGGCTGGCTCAGCAGGAAGAGTTGAGAGGGCATTCTGGCTGGGGCCAGTGACAGAGCAAAGGCCTGGAGCTTACACTGGCAGGGGCACCTTGCAGGGACACTGAGAAGCATGGGTAGCTTGGAGCCCAGTGTCTATATTGCCGGGATGGGGGACTGGTGACTTTCCCCAAATCTTAGAGACTAGGGGGAAAGCCAGGAAAGCTGAGGGAGAAGTGAGGGCCGAGGTGGGCCAAATGGGGCCAGGGGTTGTGAGCGCTGCGTGAAGGAGTGCAGAGGAAGGCGGGCAGACCATGGAGGTCCAAGGTGACAGTGGCCTGAACCAGAGCCGTGGGGCACCAGGGGTGGGGATGGGGGGCGGGGGCGGGGGAGAAGCCAGACACCCAGCTCTCCATTTGTCTGTCTCCTCATTTTAAAGTCTCTTTGTCCCCAAGAGTGACCTCCCTCTTCTGTCCTGTGACAAGACTCCTGGCAGAGAGCTTTCTTGCTCTTGCAGATTTATTCATATATCAAAAAAGAGATTTGACTTCAAAAACTCAGCCAGGCCTGAGGGGAAGGAGCCAGGGCCTCTTCTCGCTGTGGTCTTATAGGGCAGTGTGGGGCCCTGGGCGGGAGACCGGTGCTGTCCCCACTCCAGCTGTGGGCTCCAGCGTGTAGCCCTGCCCCTTTGGCCTGGGAGTCACCAGCGGCCCTGTCTTAGTCTCCTGGGGCTGAAAACAAAATGCCACAAAGTGGGTGGCTTAAAGAACAGAAATTTATTCTTTCACAGCTCTGAGGCACTGGTTATACTGATTCCTTCTGGAGACTTTGGGAGAGGAACTGTCCCAGGCCTCTCTCCAAGTTTCCGGTGATTGCCGGCAATCCTTAGCATTCCTTGGCTAGTTATAGATCCATCTACCTCTGTTGTCACTTGGCGTCTGTCTTCCCCCATGTGTGTGACTCTGTTTCTGTGTCTGTCCTTCTCTTTTATAAGATGCCACTCAGAAGGGATTAGATTCCACCTGATTCTGTTATGACCTTGTTCACTGAACTGATAACAAAAGAAAAACCTGACTTCCAAATAAGATCATCTTCATAGGTACAGGGGTTAGGACTTGAACAGATGTTTTTGGGGGACACAGTTCAACCCCTAACAGGCCCCTCTGCCTCTGTCATTCTGCCATGAGTCTGTCCTGGTTTTGCAAAGTGGCTTCTTTGGTTCTGATTTGACTGAAACCTTCTAGGCCATGATGAGGTCACAGCTCCCTGGGCCTAGTACCGGGCCTGGGATACATGCGTAGATGACCTTCACCTGCCTGCCAAGTTTATGGGTGGGAGAAGGTGGCCACATTCCTGAGGTCTCTGAAAGGAGTATGTCTTTGGGGTGCCCTGCAGCTACAGCAGCATGGAGTTGAGGGGAGCCTGGAGACTGAGGAGCAGAAGGGATTCCCGGTCCAGATGAGGGAGCTGAGGCCTAGAGGACGAAGGGCCCGCAAGCTCTCACAGTCGGTTCGTGGCCGAGCGGGACTCACTGCCAGGCACTACGGGGGAGATAGCGGGCCCACGCTGTCAGTCCAGGCCAACTCAGCCTGTCTGCCCGCCCGGGGGCCTTCCCCTGGCTGCTGGGACAGGGAGACTGGCCTGTGCAGTCCTACCTGTGGCAGGAGTTGAGCTTCACAGAGCTCTGACATGGCGGCCCTGGTGCCGGGACTGGCACACAGTCTCCCATTTGCAGTGATGAGGTGCCGTTCCTGGCACATAGCTGCCTCGGGGAAATTTATGGGAGCGCTGGCTTTTGCTGATGTGGCTAATTGGGTTTGCTGGCGGCCCCTGCCCTGTGTCAGCGGGCCCATGGGCCTGACCTCCACGGAAACATTCCCCGGCTCTGCCAGCTGGCCACAGTGTAGGCTGTCAGGGCCTCGCCCTGGGAGGGCCTAGAGGGCAGCAGGCCAGAGGGACAACCAGGCAGGCCAGTGCTGTCGGGGCCTCAGAGAGTCCCCTGGCCCACTCCTCACTGATCATACAACCCCATGGAGCCGCCAGAGGGCTGAATACCTGAGCCAGGATGGGTGAAGAGAGGACAAGCAAGCCCTCCACGAATGCCTGTCTTCAACTGGGCCTCAAGGGCAACGACGAGCTGGCAGTGGGGCCTCTAGCTTTCCCCACTGGAAGTGGAGCCAACCCAGAAGTAAACCGCCGCACGCCCCGGGCCATTCTTACACTGACTGGGGACCACTGGTGGCTGAAGGACCCCTCTCCCAGCCAGAGACAGGCAGCCTGGCTCCTGTCCAACTGCCTAGCCGCCTGCGGTGCCAGGTGGAGCCGTCACTTGTGTAACAGCAGCTCAAAGGGAGACTTTTTTACCCCTATTCTACAAATGGGGAAACTGAGGCAGCTGTGAGGTTATCTGACTTGCCTGAAGTCTGTCAGACAGCTTTGAAGGGGAGACGGCGATCGTCCAAGACCCAAATCTCTGGTCCCACAGCCTCTCACCCTCTCCACCACCCCCACTGCCTGCCCTGAAGGAAGGCCTTCCTGCTCATGTTGGCCCCCAAGGAGCTGCTCGTCAATGCGGCACTGTGAAGGCTCCCCACTGCAAAGTCTCTCCCCCGGGGCCCGGGGTCTGACCATTAGAACTCTCTAGAAGGGTTCATGTTCCGCTGTTATCAGCTATCACCTTGGCAAGTGTCCTCTGGGTATGCAGCTGGGGTTGCTCACTCCCTGGCCTCTGCCCACCACCCATTGCCACCCCTGAGGCACGAAGAACAGTCTGGATGGTCTTGGTGTGCCAGGGACCTTAACAGAGCTTTGGAGCCTACTTGGTGGCATGAAATGACAAGCTGCGTGTTTGTCTTTGTCCCCAGGAGCCCTGTGGAAGCCACCGAGAAAGGACCTGCGGAGGAGACTCAATGAGCCGCCCCAAAGGTGAGCCCCGCCCCCCTCATCCGGGTGAGGGCCCCGCGCTGCACCCAGGCGGCACATCTGGGGCTGGGCTCCCCTCTGAGGCTGCAGCCTTGCTCCTGCCAGGGAAGCCCCTGCCCCCCGGCGAGGAGGAGCGCAACAACGTCCTCAAGCAGATGAAGGTGCGGACCACGCTGAAGGGGGACAAGAGCTGGATTGTCAAGCACGACGAGTCAGAGGGGCACACCATGTGAGTCCTGGCCAGCAGAGGGTGGAGGTGCTACAGCCCCCAGGGCCTGCACCCAGGGCTGAGGGGCCCCTGTGTCCACAAGCCAGCTTGGGAGGGAGAGAGGAGCAGGGAGCAGGTAAGCTCGCTGAGGGCAAGACTGGAACAGCTCAAGAGTAGGGGAGGTGCCCTGAGCTGGAGCCTGGGGAGAAGGTGAGGGTGGCGTGACCTTGGGGCCAGCGGGCACTGGCCAAGCTCTTATGCGGAACATCCACTCAGCTCCCCATGCCTGCCTCGAGGCCTGGCCTACAGCTTTGAGAATGGAGGCCGCAAATGGTTGCTGGCAGGAGCCTGGGGGGCCACACTTTTCAGACCCTTCTCTCTCCAGAGAACTGCCTTCCAGCCGGAGCCGCGCCACCTCCTTTTCATCCCCTGGGGAGGTCCAGAAGGCCAGGTAAAGGGCGGGCCCCGGCGGTGGGGAAGAGTAGGGACAAGGAGGGAGTCTGAGCTGAGAAGGGACACCCTTCTGTACACATAGTCTGTCTGAGTGTCCTGGCGCTGCTGTGACACAAATACCACAAGTGAGGGGCTTTAAAGAACAGACATTTGTTTTCTCTGGAGGTTACAAGTCCAGATCAGGGTCTTCTCTGTGTCAGTTTCCTACCTGTGAGTAGCCCCAGGCGTTCCTCGTTCCGTGGCATCTGCCGTCCCCTGTGTGTGTCTGTGTCCACTCTGCTCTTTTTTGATAACTCACAAGTGGCTGGGTTAGGATCCAGCCTACACCGGTGCGCCCTCAGCTGGGCGAGCGATCACATTACATTAGCTTGCACTATGGTCCGTGATTGCATCGCATACATGATGGAAGATGCCCTGCTCTGCCCAAGGCTGCCTGATTAGTCACTTCTCACTACTTCATGCCAGCAACTAGACGAGTGTCTGTCCTAACCACTGGGGACCACAGCTCAGCCGAGTGGACACATGGAATTCTCCATCACAGGGGACCTTGACAGGGAGTCCTTTGAAACTCCCCTCCTGGTGAACACTCCAAGGAAGGGTTTTTCCACAGGGCCCAGGGGCAGCTCCCCTCCCGGGAGCGTAGGGGTCACTGGGTCCAGGCCCCTGGCCTTGCTGTGTGGTCCTGAGGCCAGTGGCCTCCCTTGCTGGGCCTCCATGCCTCCAGCTGTCAACTGGGATACATATAGCCATTAAAAGAAGACCATTGTTCTGAGTCCCCAGGGTAGCCGCTTAGATCTAACATACATATTTAGATAGATATACATATATATGTATAGAGAGATTGCTTTTGAGGAATTGGGTTGTATGATTGTGAGGACTGGCAAGTCCAAAATCCATAGGTCCGCAGGCTGGAGATTCCAGCAGTCTGTATCCCAGATCTGTAGGTCTAGTGGTAGAGGAGAGAGGGGAGTTCTGGTTCTTGCTCTTAAGGCCTTCAACTGATTGGACAAGGCCCACCACGTTATGGAGGGTGATCTGCTTTACTTACAGCCAACGGATTTAAACGCTAGTCACATGTAAATACCTTCACAGCAACACATAGAGTAGTGTTTGCTCAAACAACTGACCCCTTGCGCCTAGCCAGGTTGACCCCTTGTGATGCGGGATCAAGTGTAGTGGCGCCCCCTCTGGCAGGCCTCACTTTCCTTCAACCCCTCTCTGTCCTCAGGCCTCCGAACACACGAGCTCCCACGGGCTACATCATCAGGTGAGTAATGCAGCCCCTGCCCGCCTCCCCATGCCCACCACTCTGCTCCCGACTTTTCACCGCCTGCTTCTCCTGGGCTCTTTTCTAGGGGAGTGTTCACCAAGCCCGTCGACAGCTCATCCCAGCCCCAGCAGCTCTTCCCCAAAGCCAATGGAGTGCCTAAAAGGTGTGTCTGGGGCGGCCAGCCCACCCACCACTGGGGACATAGCTACCTCTCGTGAGGGCCAGACCCCAGGTTGTAACAGGGAGAGGACTCTGCCCGTCACTTTCTGGGTAGGGCAGGGCCCTGGAAGCCCCAGGTGGCCGTATAGCCCAGCTCGGGGGCCCCTGACTCCCAGCAGCCAGGCCGGGAGCCTGCAGGGCCTGGGCCTCCAATGGTGTCCTTCTTATGTGGGGGGCAGCATTTCTGTGTCAGCAAGGATAGGCCAAGGGGCCTGGGAGGCCTGGCGGGTGGGGGGGAGCTATCCTGCTCAGGGGGTGCGGTGATCCTGGGGGTCTGGCTGGCTGAGAGCAAACAGGACAGACCCCAGGCCCCCTTGTCCACCTGCCATGGGCCAGCTAGCCAGATGGAAGGCAAGTGTGGGCTGTCAGGTGGCCATACGACAGGCTTTGCCTTTGCAGTGCCACTGCCAGTGCGCTGAGAACGGCTAGTACGGGGCGTCCCTGGCCCTCGTCCTCCGGCTACAAGCTGACCACCGAGGATTACAAGAAGCTGTGAGTAGACGGCCTGGGCCCAGCTCTGGTCCGTCTTCTATGAAGTGGGCCACATACTGCGCCCTGGGAGAGCTGGCCCCGCTGGCTGAGACCCCTGCAGCAACAGCCGTGGCCTGGAGCCGCCTGAGGCCAGGCCCCCCGGAGAGCCCACAGAGGGGGCTCTGGACAGAGGCACGCCTTGTACCTGTAGTTCCTAGAGATTCCTTCACGTGTCTATCGGTTATCCCTCGTCACTGTTCCCCAGGGCTGCAGAGCTGCTGGGAAGTCATTCAGAGAGAGGGGTGAGGCGTGAGCTGGGTCTGGAGGGATAGTTAGGATTGGAGCAGGGAGAGAGAGGTGGGGGGCTGGCTCTCTAGAAGGAAAAAAGGACGTGAGCCAAGGCCCAGAGCAGGGACGCCACGTGGAAGGGAGCAGGGGGAGGCAGGGTGACGAGGAGCCGCATCGCCAGCATCCTTAACCCTCTCCTTGCACCCCAGGGCACCCTACAACGTCCGGCGCAGCTCAGCAGGGGCGGCCGAGGAAGAGGCGGTGCCCGTCTCGTCTGATGAGCAGAAGAGGAGGTAACAGTGCCTGCCAGGCATCCCAGCGGTCAGGGCAGGGGCCCTAGCCACCGCAGACCGGCCCAGTGGGGGAGAGGCCACTGGCCCAGCACCCTCTGAGCGTCCCACCATGGCCCCGGGCCTGCAGATATGCCGTGTGTGCAGCCTGGTGGCCCTGTGTGCCCCTCACCCCAAAGCCAAGCCCTCCCCTTCTCTCTCCAGCCCCGGCTCCTAAGGGCTGCCTTCAGCCCTTCCCTCCACCCACTGTCCAAGGACTGGCATCGTGCCACCCAGTGGCTGGTGGGCCGTGATGGGAACAGGTTCTGAGCCAGGGCCTTCTGTGTGCCCCGGGCTCCCGGCGCCAGTCCTCACATCTGCCATGGCTCAGGAAGCACTACCCAGCCCACTTGCAGAAGGTCTCGGAAGATCTGCAGTCCTACAGGAAGGGTCCCCAGTGAGAGGCTCCCCAGGCCAAGGGGTACAGGGGAGAGGGCCGGCTCTGGGGCCAGCTGCCTGGCAGTGAACACCGGCTCTGCCACCTGCTAGGCGTGGGCTCCTGGGCAAATCACTGAAGCTCTCCGTGCCTTGAGCTCCTCGTCTGTAAACTGGGGATGATCCTAGCACCTGCCTTCCCGGGGTGTGAAGGTTCGATGAACAGTCCTGTAGCAGGCGCAAATCGAGCTTCACCCCCATCAGGTCCGAGGCAGCGAGCAGTGTGGTCAGGAAGACGGCTCCCCGGGAGCACTCCTATGTCCTGTCAGCAGCCAAGAAGAGTGCTAGGTGAGACGCCCCAGGGGCAGGTTCCGGAACAGTCCCCTTCCCACTGGGCTGCTCTTCCTCCAGCTGGTGAGGGGGTGGGTTGAGATCAACCCCCAGGACCCTCCTAGGGGACCTTCTAGGATTCTCAGACTTACTTTCTAGAAGTCTGAGGGGTGCTGGGAGTGGGAGAGAGGGGTCTGGATCTCACCTGAGCACAGGCCCTGCCTGACCCGTCACCTTTCTCTCCTCTCCAGCAGCCCTACCCAGGAGCCACAGGCCCCAGTTATCACTAAGCGGTGAGTGTCAGACACGGGGAAGGCCCCTGTCTGCAGGGGTGCAGTGCGGGCTCTGGGGAGGGGTGGGATGGGGGTGGGGCACTGTCTCTCAGGAGGGAGAGTTGTGAGGGGCTGTGGCTTCCTTCTGGAGGGCAGCATAGGCCAGGCAAGCTCCTGGGTGGCTAGGGTGGCTCATGTGGCTCTGGCAGCCAGTTCTGCGGAGGCAGGAGTCTTAGCTGCAAGCACGCTAAGGCCTGTAGCTTGTGGCAGGAACTTTCCATTAGTCAATGGCTAACAGGGCTGGGCCCCTGGCCAAGATGGAGCCATAGTGTTACCCAAGACCCTCTGGGGTTTTGAAGCCAAAGTGGCTACCGGAGTACAAAGGGGCTCTTTCCTTGCTCCTCTCCCACCCCACCAGGGACAGGCTGGCCAATGGCCTGGCCTCAGGGACCACTGGATTGGGGCCCAGAGACTTGTCCCTGGGAGCCCCTGGCTGGTTGGGCTGTTGGGCGGCAGGCTGTGGCAGGCTGCGTCAGGAAAGTATCAGGAGCCACCCTCCTGGCCCCACCCTGTGCTCTTACCCATTTCTCCGGCCTGTGTCACCACACAGACCTCACAGACAGAAATACAAACGGCTCCGATCAAAGGCCTACTGCAATGTGTGCCATTGGAGAGGGGCACACAAAGTGCCTGGCACCAAGGCAGAGAGGCCCAGGTCCACCCAGGGCCATCAGGAGAAGTTCTCCTGGGAGGTGACTGTGACATTGGAGATGGGCCCTAAGGGGTGACCAGGGTCCTACAGGCAACCATCAGGATGGCAGGACAACAATTGAGTGAAGGAGGGGTGACACCATCAGGGAAGGAGGAGAAGATTTGGGGTCCTGCGGTGGGGTGGTTAGGGCGCCTCCACATGCGGTGGCTTCTCGAGCCGAGGTGCGGCAGGCAGGAGGCCCAGCTGCGGCAAAGGCCTGACGTGGGGACGGCCTGCTGTGTGGGAGGGATGGAAAGGCTGTCGGAACACAAGAACAAGGGATGGTGATGGCACAAAGGAAGGGACAGGTCGCGCTGTGTTCTTACTGGCCGGATGAGTGTCCCAGGGCTGCCAGAACAAACAGCCACACACTGGCTGCCTTCAAACCACAGGAGTTTATTGTCTCTTTGTTCCAGAGTCCAGAAGTCCAAATCAAGGTGCTGACAGGGCCGTGCTCCCTCCAGAGGCTCTAGGGTATATCTGCTCCAGGCCTCTCTCAGCCTCTGGTGGTGGACGGCACCCCTTGGCACCCCTTGCCTCAGTTTCCTCATGCATTAGGGCCCATCCCACTCCAGTACAACCTCAGGTAAACTGATTACATCTGCAAAGACCCTATTTCCAAATAAGGTCACATTCACAGGTACTGGGATGGACATGAATTGGGGGAAGCACTAGTCAACCCAGTGCACTGCGCTTATCCCACGCTTAAGCCGCTGAGCCCCTGATCTGACTGCCACGCGGGGTGTCCCTCAAAGGCCAACAGGCTCCCGGGAAACCGAGAAGGCGCTGCATGCCTGGGCGTGGGCATCATCTGCCTTTCGTCTTGCCCCAAGGGTGGAGGTTGTGGACAAGGATGCGCCTTCTGAGAAGAGCCGGGACCTACCTGCTCTGGCAAGAGCACTCCCTCCTCTCAGCCATGCAGTCCAGGTCACCTCCCTGCTGGGCTGCAGGGTCAGTGTCTCCATGTGCCCAGTGACAGGATGGGGCCCAGAATCTGTAAGGGCCTGTCAGGCTCCTGTCCTAGGGCTGAAAGGAGCAAAGCAGCCTGGCCTCGAGGGAGCCAGTGCTCTGCTCTTGTCTGGTACGTGTCTGTGTTACCTTAACCCTTGTGCCACTGAGCCCTGTGGCAGACCAGCATGCGGGGGTTGGAGGGCTGGCTGCCGCGGCACTCGCCTGCCCTTCCAAGACCTGCTCCCAGCTCTCCTCCAAGTCGCCCACATTCAACTGGCCGCAGCTGTCCTCCCTCCTATCTGGAGGCACCTCTCGGGGGCCTGGATGCTCACTGCTGCCTTCTCTGCGAGCATGGGTGGAGGCAGGATCAAAGGGTCACGGGCCGTTTGGATTGAACGTGTGCCGGGCCCGCCTAGCCCAGCCGGGAGCCCAGAGCACAAGTAGGTGGTTCGGGCACTGCTCAGATGGCTCACTGCTGGCCTGACAGAAGCGGAGATGGACGGGCAGGGCAGCAGGCAGAGCCCTTGCGACCTCCGTCCGGGCAGCCTGGCTGTGCCCTGGTTTCTGAGCCAGTCTGCAGGCTGAACAATCAGTACCGCCTTGTACTCTGCACTGAATGGTGCCAAGTCCCGCCGACGGTGCCACAGCCTGGCAACCAGCTATTCAAAGTGCCAGAGGGCTGAGTGCCCCCACCACAGGGCCCTTTTGGGGTGGCTGCAGGGACCCCAGGGCAGTGCGGGCTCTCCTGATGCCTCTGCAGCCCTCACCCCCCTCCCCAGCTCAATCTGTGTCCTCGGGGCCGCCTTCTCTGCACCTGGCCCTGGCCCTGTCCCCATGCTCCCTGAGCCCAGGAGGGAGGCAGAGCTGTGCCCCAGGGAGCCAGGAGTGCAGCTGGGAGGGGAGGAGAGGGGAGGGGAGGGAGGCGCTGAGCCTCTGCAGATGCCTCTCTTTTTCACTCCCCTCCCATGATCGTCCCTGCTCGTCTGACTGTCCCCATCATACCTTTTTTCCATCATAACTTTTGAAGAAGTGGAAAGATTTGAGAGCTCTTTACAAGGTAGCATCAGTGGAGCTTGGTGACTGATGGGAGATGGGGCTTGAGGAAGACAAAAGCAAAAAAATACCAAACCCATTGCCATGGAGTCAACCCCAACGCATGGTAGCCCCATGTGTGTCAGAGCAGAACTGTGCTCCATGGGGTTTTCAGTGGCTGATTGTTCAGAAGCAGGTCGCCAGGCCTTTCTTCCAAGGCAACTGTGGGTGGACTCGAACCTCCAACCTTTCAGTTAGCAGCTGAGTGCCTTAACCATTCTCACCACCCAGGGACTCCTCGAGGAAGACTGGAGGCTTTAAAATGTCTGCCTTCAGCAGCTGGGTAGCTGGTGGGGACGAGGCTGCATTGAGCTCAGGCCACACTGCATGAGGTGCCTACGGGGAGAGGATATGGCCAGTAGATGGGTGCCGTGGGAGTCCCAGGCCCTTTCCTGTGCGTTTCAAGGGAGGAGAAGGGGACTGGCCATGCCAGAGATGGGTGCAAAGCCAGCCAGTCCCACCTGGATTAGCAACACACCTCGAAGTTGGGGGTATCAGAAGGACAGATGAAGGACTCAGGTCTTTGAGGAGCTGTTATGTGGAGAGGCAGCAAACTTGTCTTGTCCTTGTGGCCCCAGGAACCAGAATCGGGGCCCAGCTTCAAATGCAGAAAGAGGCCAACATCTCCACCTTCTGGCTTCTTAGGGAAATGCGGCTACAGGCTGCTGAGACCACGTAGGTCCTCGTTATTCGTGGATTCCTCGTCCAAACCCTCTTGTTCGCTAAAATGTTCAGCGGTATTTTCGTGGCAGTTCATGGACGCGCACATGCGCAGAGTCGCATGCACGGCCCCCACTGAGGTCGGTCTGTCGAAACTGGTTTGGAGTCATTAATTCAGTGTTCACGGGGATTGATGGCATATATGCCCGCGAATAGCGAGAATCAAACAGCCTGTCCCTCCCCCCGGGCCGCCTTGGCACAGGCCGCTGTCAATGTCACTATCACTGCGCTCCCACAGGCGGCTGGGGCTGCGTTGGATATTCGAGGATCAATACTGGGCTCCGGCTTCAGCTGACGCCAGGCTGTGTGTTCTGAGCGCCTTCCAGAGTGTGCGGGGCCCCAGCAGATCTCAGCCCCACTGTGGTCGAGGGTCTGGGGAGGTGGCGGGGCTGGTGGCGCTGCGAGGGGAGGGGAGGCTGGAAGGCGCCCCGGAAAAGGCCTTGAAGAAGGATGTGCCCAGGTGTGTCCTCGTGAAGTCACTGGACCAACACTCCAATTTGGTATTTAAACAAATAAGCTTTATTGGAGGAATGAACCGGGGGAGAGCAGGCGTTCAGTTTGGCTGTAATGGTGTGCTCTGCCCTACAAGCAAAACAAGGAGAGATTTAACAAGCAGAGTGGGTACAGGTAACTACAAGCAATGGCAGGAAGGGAGCTGAGATTTACAAAGGTGGCCATTCACTGTGAAACATTCTTTACATCAGTTTCTAAATTTCTAACACAGATCTCTCATACTTGATACAATTTAACTAAGGCAATATTTCTTAAATGAAAAGTATAAACAATGTCGACTTGAAAGTTTAGTGATATGAAAGTTAGTGATATATTTGCGGCTAGGCGAACTTAATTGGAATCTTTGGATACAGAACTGACCATTAGTTCAACCAAAACACCAAACTCATTGCCATCGAGTTGATTCTGACTCATAGTGATCCTACAGGACAGAGCAGAACTGCCCCCATAAAGTTTCCAAGGAGCACCTGATGGATTCAAACTGCCAACCTTTTGGTTAGCAGACGTAGCTTTTAACCACTACACCACCAAGGCCCTGACTGTTACTTAGGAAAGTGTAAATAAACTCTGCTTACTTAGCTGAGAGAAAAGAGATAATGCCTAGGCGCTTGCGGGGGGGACTTGTTACGGTAGTTAAAACAACATGTTTATGTATAGGCTCTAATTTATTTTAACAACTCAATGAACATTCTTAACATAACAAACACGCTGAACTTTGTTTTTCAGACAGCAACTTTAACAGAAGCCTAATTGTTACCAGGAGTGTAGAAGTAAAACCCTCAGTTTAATTCCTGAATGGAGTGCCTAATTTTAGTTCTGAAATCTCCCCCAATCAGACCTCCTGGCACCTCAAAATTTAAAAGTTCCTCACACCTCTCCCCCGTTTAATAAGCCACCGCTAGGGGGCAGCAGATCACCCACAAAGAATTTACCAGTCTCCTGTAAGAACTTGGAACCTTCGGGAATGATTGTTCTATGTGAGTTTTTAAGCTGCTGTTTCCAGGTATCTGCTCTCTGCAGGGAACTGGATCTCACCATGTTTCTGTCCGAATCCAGACGTAGAGGTCTTTTCCCTTATTATAGCTAGGCTACTCTTCTGGCTGTTTTCTTAGGTTTTGGATGCTGTTTTTTAGCAACCACACACCGTTTGGTCTTCCAGTAGCTGGGTACCATCCAACTTCACCTTGCTGTAGCTTCGGGTTTTATCTTTAGGGTGGATAGATTCTGATCAGGGAGGACGTAAGGAACAGGGCCACATTAAAAGGAATAACCGGCATTCTAAACAGCGTTTGACTTCAGAACTAAACTTCATCTTAGAAAAATCAGCTTCTTCTAAATACATAATTTGTCCCCTAGTCATATGCCTCGAGGGTTGGCTATGGCAATGAGAAGCACAATGCGTTATATATTTAACAATTATTGGAAACCCTGGTGGCATAGCGGTTAAGAGCTGTGGCTGCTAACCAAAGGATTGGTAGTCTGAATCCACCAGGCGCTCCCTGGAAACCCTATGCGGCAGTTCTACTCTGTCCTATAGGGTCGCTATGAGTCGGAATCGACTCAATGGCAACGGGTAGGTATGGAGTAGGTAGCTAATAATAATTATTATTATAGGACTTGTAAAATATAATAATTGGAAACCCTGGTGGTGTAGTGGTTAAGAGTTCGGCTGCTAACCAAAAGGTCGGCAGTTTGAATCCACCAGGCACTCCTCCAAAACACTATGGGGCAGTTCTACTCTGTCCTATAGGATCGCTATGAGTCAGAATTGACTCAATGGCAATGGGTTTGGTATTTTTGGGGTATAATAATTGGAGCCCTGGTGGCACAGTGGTTAACAGCTCGGCTGCCAACCAAAAGGTCGGCAGTGCAAATCCACCAGCGCTCCTGAAAAACCCTATGGAGCAGTTCTACTCTGTCCTATAGAGTTGCTATGAGTCGGAATCGACTTGACAGCAATGAGTTTATAATAATAATTACAATGATTAGAAGAAAAAGACAGATTAATAGAAAGGAGTGTATCCCATATCCAGTGTTTTGAGGCAACCAGCTAAAAATGTCAGGGAAGGAAGAAGCTGTCATGGGGGGAATACTATGCAACCAAGAAGCCTTTTGGCGTATTTTAGAAATGTGTTGCTCTACTTCTCCAGAGGTATTTATCCGTGAACAGCAAGAGGTATTTGAGACAGCACAAACCCCTCATTGCTGAGCTAAAATAAAGTCCAGTGTGATTCGGTGGTCCAATACTACCTTTGCCAAGGACTCTAAAGACTCTTGTTGTGCAGCCATTCTATCATCAGTTTGGGCCACAGTGGCAGCTAGATCACGAGTGGACGTTTCTAATTGTACAATTCCAAACCATGGGATAGTAGCATGTAAGAAAGACCATCCCCATCCTGAGTACTCAGCGATGGGATTTCCTGTCTGGATATTAATTCTGAATCACTGTTCCATACTAAGCTGTCACTGTATAGATACTCATGGGAACTCCTAATATTTCTAAAGTACATTGGCCTGTCAGGCAGGATGACAAAGGAGAGGCGCCAGCTGGGGCAGAGGCACAGGGACACAATTTCTTCTGGGACATAACCAGAAACACCAGTGACATCCCAAAGTCAAGCTGGCCCCCTCCGTCGCGCACATGTATTTTAGGCAAAGCAGCATGGCTGCGACCTGTGGTGGCCGGGATCATGGTGGTGGTGGAGAGACAGAGATGAGCGGCCCACTGCCCTGGCCCTCAGTGAGCTCCCAGTCTAACTCAGAACCAGGCCCCAGGGTCAACTCCAGGGCCGACAGAGGGCCACCATGCTGCCCAGGCTCACCCAAAGGGCGAGCTATCCAGTTCCCTGCCTTTACCCTGGCCCTCCAGCTCCTCCTCCTCGGGACCTCCATCTGACCACGTGGGTCCCCTCCAGCCCATCCTGTGGTCTCTCTACGTCTCTTCACCTGTCTGGAAGCAGCTCTGTTACCCTTGGGGCTGGATGTATGTGGTCCACACAGCACAGTAGAGTTAGCCTGCAGCTCTGCCTGCATGCCCCAGGCTCACTGTGGGGCCAGGGCCATGGGGCCGCTGCAGGAAGGTGTGAGGCTCCAGAGAGCCAGGCTGGGTCTGGAAGGATGGCATAGGTCTGACGCCATGCACCTGGGGAGGGATGGCTGAGGGCAGGTGCCCCCCAAGGCCAGGAGCTCTGGATGCCCTCACCTGGGTCCAGAGAGTGCAGGGACTGTGAGGGGACTCTGAGCAGGCGGGCACTGGGCAACGGAGCCCTCGGAGGGGCCCTTTGAGCACTGGGTGTGTCGGACCCTCAGGACTCCAGTTCCTGGGCACCTGCTCGCTTGCTTATCCCTCATGTCTCCACCAGTCCCACCCACTGGCCCTCCGTCAAGTTGGGCTTGCCTGTTTCCTGGGCATCACGGTCGTCATGGGTCACTACCAGCCCATGAACACAGCACTCTTGCTGGACACTGCGAGGCTCTCCTTGGCCTTGTCTGCAGATGGGGTGCCAGGGCTGTGCCCGAGGGAGGGCTGGGCACAGGCAGGGTAACAGTGAAGGACCTCATCCCTCACTGCTCTGGGGTCAGGGGCCAAGCTCAGCTGCCCCACCAAGAAGGCTCCAGGCAAAAGAGGTTAGAAAAGAGCCACAAAGAAGAGCAATGGGTCTGAGTGTCCCTCTGCACAACCAGGAGGCTCCTGAGGGAGACCATCCTTGACAGCCCAGCACACATAGGCCACAGCGGATGTTGTGAGCGGCAGCTCATGGCAGTCTCTTCTGGCCTACAGCGGGAGAGCAGAGGACATCGTCTGCCTGCAGACCATGACGCCCCCGGTGGGACTCTGCCTGGTGGCCCCAGACCTAGAAGGACCGAGGTATGGGGGCCCTGCTGCTGGCCTGGCCCCTTCCACTCATTCTAGGGATGTGGGGGTCAGCAGGGTGGGATGCAAATGAGGGTGGCCTTGGTGCTGGTCCTGCTGCTGCATCCACTCAACAACCATTGCGGAGCAAGCATCTGGTCCGTGCGAGGCCACAGGCCCGGTCCGGGGACCCAGCATCAAAGGGCAGCCCTGGACCAGCAGGAGGTGCTCGCTGCTGGGTGGGGGAGGCAGAGCAAGGTCAAGGCCAGAGCCCCCACCACCCACCTGCCAAGGAAGGGACAGCCTCGCTGAGCCCTGACACCAGACAGACCTCTGTGCTGAGTGGGGACGGGGGTCTGAGGAGGGCTGCCTGGAGAATGATGGGCATCCCTCTGTTGGGTTTGATACCATGGGGCTCCCTAGTGACCTTGGAGAGAACAGAGGGGTTGGGTTAGGAGGTCAGGACTTACGCTCACAGCTGAGGGAATGTAGTCCCTACCTCTGAAGTCAGAGCGCCTGGTGCAGAACCCAGCTCCTCCTCTTCTTACCTGTGCAGCGTAGGGCAAGTCCCTCGGGCTCTCTAGGCCTCAGTTTGCTCATCTGGAAAGCAGGTGTGGATAATTACAGTGCCATGGCCTGGGGCGGATGTGGGGAGGTAATGCAGGCACGGTAAGGAGAACTCTGCGTTGGCCTGGCGTGTGGTGGCCCTCACTAAACAGTAGCTATGAGTAAGGAGATTGTGATCTGTCTCTGTCAGGTGTGAGGCTCCTGGAGGCAGTGGCCATTTGGGGATGAGTGTGAGTGGCTTATTAACTTCTGTTTCTTTCCTCCATAGGTCTCCCCCAGGTCACAGAGACAAGGAGGCTCCCAGCCCCAGAGAGCCCGAGAGGGACTTGGTTGGTGAGGAGGCCTTCAAGGCCCCTGACCTGGACTCTGAAAGGTAACTCATGCCAGGGAGCAGACGCTCATCCCCAGGACTTGGAGCTCACTTGCTCCAGAGCTGCGAGGCCTCCATGGCCCTGGTCCAAGCTCTGCATTGTCGTTGTAGAGCCAGAGCCCCCAGTCAGCCGTGGAGCTGGGACCAAGGCTGTGTTCCCAGCGCCCAGGGCAGCGCAACCCTCGAGGGATATCTGTTGAGAGAATGAATGAATGAATGAGACCTGGAGAGGGGCAGGCCCCTGCCCAGCCCCCTCAGACAGCCAGTTGCAGAGCAGGACAAAACTCCTGGCACGGATGTCCCCTCCCCAGCCCCAGCCCCGTCCTGGGTCTTTTCTCACTCAGCTGCCTGTGGCTCCGCCTCCTGCTTTTTACGCCCTGGGAAGCAGCCCCGCGCTGGGGCCAGGGCAGAGCAAGGCCACCGAGTTTGGGAAAGTCAGTGGGCAGAGTATACATGGGTCCCCACAGAGCACTAGCAGGGGCTTCCAGGACACCCTATAGACAAAGGGAGACTGGGGTGGGGGTTTGAAGATGGCGTCTTAGTTTTTTAGGGCTGCAGTAACAAAAATATAAGTGGGTAGCTTTAATGAGTGGAGATTTCTGTCTCACAGTTCTGAAGGCTAGAAGGCCAAATCAGTAGCCTGGGGTGTTTTTTGAAACTCTTTGTCTTATAGATGAATTCTTATATGGTCTCCCCTCCCCGCCCCACCGTCTGTATCTATTCTGCTCTTTGTATAAGACACCTCTCAGAAGGGATTAGGACCACCCTACTCAGTATGACCTCATTAACATAACAAAACCTGTTCCAACTCATAGCAAGTGACCCTCTAGGACAGAGCAGAACTGCCCCATAAGGTTTCCAAGGAGCAGCTGGTGGATTTGAACTGCCAACCTTTTCGTTAGCAGCCCAGCTCTTAACCACTACACCACCAGGACTCCAACATAACAAAAGGAAACCCCTATTTCCAAACAGGATCACATTCACAAGTACAGGAGTTAGGACTTCAGCATATGTTTTTGGGGACACAATTCCATCCAGAACAGTCCAGGGGACAGGGCAAGTCTGGCAGGCAGTGGTGCTGAGGTGGGTATTCTCCTTGGTGGGAGGTAAGCTGGCAGCTAGTAACCAGTCAGGACCACAGTGGAGGCCCCAGAGCCCCAGTCAGGAAACAGAGCCCTGGAAGGAGAGGAAGGGATCCAGATGGCCAGGAGGGCCTTGTCCCCTTCTGGGCTCTATGGTGTGTGGTGGCCCCCAACGCCTTGCCCCTTGCCGTTGGCCATCGGGCTGGCCTCCTCCTGTGCTGTTCTTGGCTCCACTCCAGCTCCCAGCCCATCCAGTTTGGAGAAATGCAAGAACACTTGCTGGCGGAGTAGACTGGGGTTCAGCCTGCACTCAGGAGGCTGGAGGTAGACACGCGCAAAGCCCTTAGCAAAGTCAGCAGAGGCTTCTCTTCCAACCACAGGTGCAGCTCACAGCCGAGTGACAGCCACCTGGCATCGGCAGCCCCAGGAGGCTGGGCTGGAGCAGACGGCGGCTCTGGGAGAGGAGGGTGAGCAGCGGGTGACGGGCCGTTGGGGTGGGCCCTGCTCCCTCCCGGTGTGGTCCATGCTTCCCTGATCTCTAGCTCCTGTCACTGTCCTGTCCACTTCTTCTTGGAATGATCTCTGCTTGACTCTTCCTCCTTCTCCCACCCCCTGCTCTCAAGCATCTCCAGAGCAGGTACAAGGTCCCGCTCACAGCTGGAGGGCCAGCGCCCACCTGGGGCAGGCATGGAGCACGTACCCTGAATATGTGAGCACCGAGTGAAGGGAGAGTCTAACGACTGAGCGAGCGATGCATGAGTCTGTGCCGTCCTTCTTCTTGCCTGCTTTCTCCCTTCCCTTCCAGAAACCCCAAGCCCCCTGCCTCTGCCCTGGCCTGGGCCAGCTCTGCCTTGAGACCCTGTGAGAGGAAAAGCAGCTAGGAAACGAACGTGTCTGCTGGGCCGTGGGTCCTTGGACCTGGGTGGAGGCAGGGGCCGCTTCCCCAGGTGACTCGAGGGGAAGGGGTGGTGGCACAATCCCACCTGCCCCCAAGTGGTTCCAAACCAAGCAAGAGTCATCCCTGGGAACAAATGCCAGGTATGCAGATGTTGGCACAAATAACTCAGCTCCAAACTGTAGTCTGGCCATGGAGGGCATCCCCAGGAGGAGCCCCTGCTTCCTGCCTTCCTTCCAGGCTGCCTCACTCACAGCCCTCTGGGGGTCCCTTTCTCTCACTAACTTTAATCGTTTGCAAACAAAATGCGAGCCCTAGGGCCCGACCTCTAAATCCAAGATCCCAAGCCAACAACGCAGGGGACAGCAGCCGTTCCTCTGAGAACACTGTCTCTGAGCAAGTCCCCGGAATGGCCGCTGTGGGGAGAGCTGTGGTGGGCCCTCCCCTTCATCTGGCACTACTTTGGGCCAGAGACACACGACATCACACTGCGTCTATGAATCACTTTGCTGCTGGCTTCCCTAGAAGGCTTGTGTCTGTGTTTCCTGGAGCTGCCGTAACAAAGCACCACAAAGTGGGGGCTTTAAACATCAGAAATGCATCGTCTCACAGTTCTGGAGACTGGGAGTCCAAGTTCAGGGTCTCGGCTGTGTCCGTTCCCTCTGAGATTCTGAGAGAGACAGTTGCCCTTTCCCTCTGAGGTTCTGAGAGAGACAGCGTGCCGTCCCCTCTGAGGGTCTGAGAGAGACAGCGTGCCCGTCCCCTCTGAGGTTCTGAGAGAGACAGTTGCCCGTTCCCTCTGAGGTTCTGAGAGAGACAGCGTGCCGGGCCTCCCTCCTCGCTTCTGGGTGTTTCCCACAATCCTTGGTGTTTCAGTGCTGCTTGTAGATGTACAGGTAGTCCCAGACTTACAACAGGATTCCATTGTGATGACTCCATCAGAAATTGTTTCTGACGTAAGTCAAATACCTCTTCTTTATGCTTAGTTTTCATTATTATTGCCTTGCATTATCAGTGTCTTTGTAAATCCAATCTTTGAACATCAGCGGGTGAACATCTGGGAGTGATAACATCAGCAAATTACAGGCTGCAACATTGTGTGTAGTACAGATTACTAACGATAAGATATACAAAAACAAACCAGACGGTCGTAAGTGCGGTTTGCGGTAACTCGAATACGTCGTAAGTCAGGGACTACCTGTGTCTTCACATGGCGTCTTCTCCCTGTGCATCTCTCTGTCTCCTTGTCTCTTCTCCTTGTTGATAAGCACACCACTCAGAAGTGACCAGGATCCACCCTATTCCAGTAGGACCTCATGGTACCTGATAACATCTACAAAGACCCCATTTCCAAACGAGGTCACATTCATAGGTGCAGGGTCAGGACTTCAGCGTATCTTTTGGGAGGATACAAATCAACCCATAACAAGCAGCCTGATGTCCAGAATTCTCCAGCATCACTCCCACCTCTGCCTCTGTGGTCACATGGCTGTCTTCCTTCTGTGTCTCCCCTCCTCTTTTATAAAGGCACCACTCAGATGGGGTTGGGGCCCACCCTGCTCCAGTCTGGCCTCATGGTAACTGATAACATCTGCAAAGACCCTAGGACACAGTCACAGGTACCGGGGTTAGGACCTCAACACGTGTTCTGAGGGGCACAGTTCATTCCATAACTTCTGACCCAATGTGAGTGGATCTCAGTTGGTTCATTTTTGAACATATGTCCCCATCAGCCTTCCTGCATGTGTACCCCGTAAGATGAAGTCTTCACTTTCCACTTTCTGTTTCCTTAAAGTGAAGCCAACCCTCAAAGTAAGTAGCAAAATAATTTGAATGAAGAATCTTCTGGAGTTTTATAATTTTTTGCTCCAATATTTTACACTCAGTTTGACAATGATTTCTCAGACTTACTGTTGTCATTCCAGAGAAGTTGGTGTAGTTCTCATAAATAACCACTCTCCTTTTCCATTCATTGTCACGAGTTTACTGAAGAGTTAGTTGAATTTAGTCCATTATAGTTACAAGTACAAGTGGCTTAAATGGGTCTGGGAACAAACACAAGGGACTCTTGGTGAGCGTGCAACTCAAGTGGAGGGCACGGACTTGTGTGGGCATGATGAGGTGCCCGCGCGCCAGTGCTTGCTCTGTGTGCCGTGAGCATCGGTCCACCTGTTCGCGAGAGAACAGAGCATGCAGCTCTGAAGGCAGGCCAGACAGCACCCACTCACATCTGTATCAAGTTTGCAGAGGGGACTGCAAAGGACCACTGCTTCCAAAGCAGCCACAGGCCCAGGAGGAAGAATAACAGGAACACGTGGGCATGTGCTACGGCCCTGGCATTACTCTGTGTACTTGGCAGTCACAATCATCATCCCATTTCACAGACGATAAAACTGAGGCCCAACTTACTAGCTTTCTAATACCACAGCTTGATGTGAAATGCGAAAGTTATCCTTTTGAAAGCACTTATGCCTCAGACAACAACGCTTGCCTCAAATGTCTGCCTTTCATTCTCTTTCACTGTTGGTGCGACCATAAATTGGCGCAATCTCCCCTGAATAGTAATTTGGCAGTAAATACCAAAAGCCTTTGAAATCTGTGTACCCTTTGACCCAGAAAGATATTCACTGCAGTCTTATTTATAATAGTGAAACATTTAAAAACAACCCTAATGTCTGCCACTAGGGAATTGGTTAAATAAAATGAGTACAATCCATACAATAGAATATTCTACCATCTTTAAAGAAGTTAATTTCAAGGGATAGTGCCTGGCACACCAAAAAAACAAAAACAAAAACAAAACAAAACAAAAACCCAAACCCACTGCTATCGAGTCAATTCTGACTCATGATGACCCACTAAAACCAAGAACCAAATCCGCTGCCATCGAGTCGACTCCGACTCATAGCGACCCTATAGGACAGAGTAGAACTGCTCCATAGGGTTTTCAAGGAGCGGCTGGTGGATTCAAACTACTGGCCTTTTTGGTTAGCAGCCAAGCTTTTTAACCACTGTGCCACCAGGGCTCCATGGTGACCCACAGTCGGTGCTGACGGGGAGAGAGAGCCTTCCATGTGAGCCAGCACTCTGATTTCAGACTTCTAGACTCAAACTGTGAGAAAATAAATTTCTGTTTTTTTTTTTCCGTTTAGCCAGAATGGTGATCCACCAAAAAAAAAAAAAAAAAAAAAGAAAAGAAAAACAAACCAAACGTGTTGCCGTCAAGTCGATTCCGACTCATAGCCACCCTACAGGACAGAGTAGAACTGCCCCATAGGGTTTCCAAGGAGTGCCTGGTGGATTCGAACTGCCAACCCACAGTCAGTGCTAAATAAAAAATTGCTTAATCCGTAGATGAATAGTCATCAAAATTTGTAGTAATTTTTAAAGCTGCTACAGTGCCTTTATCCAATCTTTGTTTAAAAAAAAAACAACAGAGGTCAAAGAGGTCAAGTAACTTGCCCAAAGTTACACAGCTCGGAGGTGGGGAAGCTGTGATTTGAACTGGGCAACCTGACTCCAGGGAGCCTATGCTTAACCACCGCCTGAGTTATCTGGTGCTATTATAACAGAAATACCATAAGTGGATGGCTTTAGCAAACAAATTTATTTTCTCACAGTTTAGGAGTCTAGAAACCCAAGTTCAGAGCACTGGCTTGTGGGGAAAGCTCTCTCTCTCTCTCTCTCTGTTCTCTCTCTTGGCTCTTGAGGAAGGGCCTTGTCAATCAGGACAGCCTCTTCTCAGCTTTGTCCGTAGGCAGGCCTCTCTTTGGCCCTCAGCCCGGCCTCTGCCCTGCTCGGGTAAGTGTTACAAAGCTCTTTAGCTCTGCCAACAAGTGCCCAGAGGCACCCCACTCCGCCAGGAAGCTTCCTGCCCGAAGGCTCCCGTGCCATCTCGTGCAGGTCTCCTGGTTCTGCTGCTGCCATTTCTCTGCCGCTGCTTCTTGCCATCTTGCGCCATCTGCAATGTTACAGCTCTCTGTGTCTCCTGGTTCCAGGAGGTTCTCAGTGCAGGGACCCTGGATCCAAAGGATGCACTTTGCTCCCATCTCTTCTTGGTGGTATTGAGGTCCCTATCTATGCGTGCTTCTCTCTCCTTTTATCTCTTGTGAGATAAAAGGTAAGGCAGGCCACACCCCAGGGAAATTCCCCTTACATGGATCAGGGCTGTGACCTGAGTAAGGGTATTGCATCCCACCCTAATCCTCATTAACATGACTTAATCCTGCTTCATTAACATAACAGACAGCTCACTCCCAAAAGGGACTGTAACCACAGGCGTTGTTGTTTGGTGCAAGTCGGTTCCAACTCGTAGAAACGCTATGTACAACGGGACGAAACATTGCCCGGTCCTGTGCCGTGCTCACAATCATGAGGCTTGAGCCCATTGTTGCAGCCACCATGTCAGTCCATCTTGTTGAGGGTCTTCCTCTTTTTCACTGACCTTCTACTCTACCAAGCATGATGTCCTCCTCCAGGGACTGATCCCTCCTGACAACATGTCCAATAGAGGCTAGGATTTACAAATCACAAAATGGAGGATAATCCAATCACAAAATGAAGGACAGGCACACAATACTGGAAATCATGGCCTAGCCAAGTTGACACATATTTTTGGGGAACACAATTCAATCCATGACAATCATTATGCCATACTGATCAGGTGCCTGCTGCCACAAACTCTCAGTGAGTATTATGGCCCGAGCCACCCTCTCGGGAAGGGGGTTGACAGGCCAACACAGCATCCTGAACCACACCTGGCCTCCTTCCACAGGCTGTGCTTGGCTGCTCCCTTTGCCCCTCTCCTGGATGACCGGGGTGTGCATGGCGCCAGCTCTCAGTGCCACGAGCCTGGACTCATGGCCACCAGGTAAAGGGGGGCAACTTTGGGCAACCAAGCCCATTGCAGACAGGCTTCTGGGCTCAGCCTTGGCTCCAAGGCCCCAGGATCCCCTTGCTTTTCTCAGCTCTCTGCTCCCTTCCCATCAGGTGACAACAGCAGGGCAGGGAGGGACCCTGGCTGGCACTGGACCATCCACCAGGGGCAGTGGGGGCAGGAGGGACAGGTTGGGCCCTGAGGTGTCAGTGGGACCAGTGGCTTTGGGAGATGGATCATGGGAAGTGTCCCTGCTTGGGGGGGGGGGGGGGGAGAGGGTCGCAGGGAGCGTCTCCTGTAGGGACTACAGCCCAGCAACCAGGAGCCAGCGAGAGGAACCCGGAGGACAGCCAGTCAGCACTAGAGGGCTTGGTCCTAGGAGGCAGGTGGCTGGGGAGGGCTGTCAAGGTCAAGGCCTCTGCCCTATTTCATCCACCAACCCACTCAGCCTCACTGGAGCAGCCGTTTTGCTGTGGGTGCGTGGGGCAGTTAGTAAGCCCTAGGAAGAACGATCTTCCGGGGCTCCCACAGGACCCCCACGAGGTAGGTCAGGTGAGGATACTGTAACTGAAAACCAGGAGGAGACATCTCCAGGGACCCCGAGTTGGTCAGGGGCAGTGCTAAGGCCAGGTTCTGGGCTCACATGACATTATCACATGCAGTGGCGTCCATGCCACACCTGTGCCAGGACTGAGCAGCCAGCCTTTGCTGGAAGACATAGGCCCGTCCCCCGTTGCCTGTGAGAAGACAGTGGGGAAGGGAAGGTCTGGGCCAGCAGCCCCCTTGGGCACGAGGCCTCAGCAGGCTGTGCGCTTCCCTCCCTCAGCTCCAGTGCACCTTCGGCCTCTGCTGGCCCAGCTGAAGGGAAGAGCATGCAGCCCGAAGATCTGGAGGACACCAAGGCAGATGAGAAGGGGTAAGGCAGCAGCGGCCCGATGAGCTTCTGGGGTGGAAGGGCAGCTCGGGTGTAAGGAACGTGAGGCCGCCAGCCTGTCAGCTGCCCGAGCACATGGCTTTCTGCCGCACGGAAGAACCAGAGCAGCCCCTGCCTTCCCTGGGCGCCCGGTCGGTGGGGAAGCAGAGGCCAGTGCAGAGTAGAGCACAGCCGGTGGGTGCTGTGGGAGGGCCTGCGCTGAGAGCACAAGCGGCACTGCCTGGGAAGAGAGGGCAGGGCGGCTTCATGCGGGCGGTGGCCTCTGAGCCGAATCTCGAACAAGGTGCTGCACGGGCGCTGTAAGTACTGAACGTGGCTGGTGCTGAGGGTCCTCACGGGAGAGGTGGGCAGGGGCTGATGGCCTTTTGCACCACAATGAGAATGAACTCTGGAGTGCCTACTGTGTGTGCAGCTGTGTGCACACATTGTCGCATTCAGCCCTCCCCACAATCCCACGAGGTTCACACCGGAGTAGAATGAAGAACAAAGCCCTGGAACCCAGGTCTCGCCACCAGCAAAGGAACAACAGTGCTCTTGAGGAAACAGCCCGGGGGCTGAGACAGATGGGCTGAGGAGGGCTACTGCTCAGGTGGGGGTGGCACAGGTGAACTCCTCGTAGGGAAGAGAAGGCGCCAGACTCAAGAACAAGCAGGGAGGAGAGCTGCAGATGAAGGAGCTGCAAACCACAGAACCTTAGCCTGTTCCAAAGCACAGAGCACCAGCGCCCGGCTGGCGAGGGGTGTAGATGCAACTGGACCTTGGTAAGCCAGAATCAGAGTTGGGATTTTGTCCCAAGTTTTAAGCCAAAGAGGAACATGGTCTGATGTAGCTTTGCATTTTCCCACTGCAGTGCGGCGGCTTTTTTATATTGTTACCCGACTCAACCGGGATGATGCGCCATCCCCGCGTATCTCTAAGGTATGAGGCCCTATTATATGACTTCTTTCTGATTGCACTGACAGTTAACCGTCAGAATGAAAACAATAGTTAACACCTGGTCCGCTGGTGGAATTCTCTCCTTCCATGAGGGAGACCTGGATTCCATTTCCAGCCAGTGCACCTAATGCGCAGCTACCACCCGTCCGTCAGTGGAGGCTTGTGTGCTGCTATGATGCTGAACAGGTTTCAGCAGAGCTTCCAGACTGAGATGGACCAGGAAGAAAGGCCTGGAGATCTACTTCCTAAAATCAACCAATGAAAACTCTACGGAGCACAATGGTCCGATCTCGTTGTGCATGGGGTCTCCGTAAGTCGGGGGCTGACTCAATGGCAGCTAACGGCAACACAGTGTGCTGTGCTAGGTGCTCTGTGTACGCTACCACAGTCTCCCTAACAATCCTGTGAAATGAGGACACAAAAGCATAGGAAGGTTAAGTGACTGGTCTGCAGCCTTACAAGTGGCAGAGCTGAGTCCCGAGGCAAGAGGCTTGAAGAACCTCAAGAGGAACTAAAAAAGCTAGTGCGTGAAATCTGAACCAGTAACTGCCAGCTGGTTAGTGTGCAAAGCACGCCTCTGCAGGATCTCATTGATCCTCGCCAAACCCTGGGAAGGACTGGGTTCTTATTATACAATCTGACAGAGGAGGGAACTGAGGGATGCACTCCTTGTGAGAGTGCAGAAGTGGCCAACTCTAGAACACAGGCTCGGAAGCACTTTGTGTTAATGTTTAAAAGTTTGCAAAATCAATACAAACTTTCTTGGCCACAGTGTTTCACAGCCCTGGCTGCACCTGAGAATCACCCAGGGAAATATTTTTGAAACAAAGGAAAAAGGAGCTTCCCGAGCCCCACACCAGATTCCGATGTTATTGTCCTGGGCTGGGGCTCCACCGTCCATGTCTTTTTTACAGCCCGTTTATTCTCAGGTCCAGTCCAGGTGCATTGTTGGAGGGCAGTGGTTCTGATCCAGGGTCGATCCTCTGGGGACATTTGGCAATGTCTGAGGACATTTTTGTCAGGACTTGGGTGTTGATACAGGCACCATGGACTGCCAGCAGAACAAACAAGTCTGTCCTGGAAGAAGTACAGCCAAAATGCTCCCTAGAGGGGAGGATGGCGAGACAACGTTTCACATACTTTGGACATGTTATCAGGAAGGACCAGTCCCTGGAGAAGGACATCATGCTTGGTAAAGTAGACGGTCAGTGAAAAAGAGGAAGACCCTCAACGAGATGGATTGACACAGTGGCTGCAACAATGGGCTCAAACAACAATGATTGTGAGGATGGAGCAGGACTGGGCAGTGTTTCGTTCCGTTGTACATTGGGTCGCTGGGAGTCGGAACCAACTCCAGGCACCTGACAACAACGCAGGCATCTAGTGGGTGAAGAGCAGGGATGCTGTTAAACATCCTACAGTACAGAGCGCAGGCCCCACGACACGGAATTATTTGGCTTGAGTCAGTAGTCGCGAGGTGGAGAAACTCTGTTCTAGAGCTTTCACGATCTCTGGGGGAATGGGGTGGACGCAAACGGTTCCACTAGCTTCGCAGGCTGCGGGTAGGGAGCACAGAACGTGTGCGCCTGCGCGCGCGTAGACCTGGCGCCTGCTCGCCCTGCAGATTCGCGCCAGGTGCCCATCCTGTGTGCGCCTGCGCGCGAGTGCGGTTTCCACGGACCTGTGGCCGTCGTGTGTGCGCCTGCGCGGGCCGCCATTTCCTCAGCCGCGGGCTTGGCGCGTTGCCCGCCGGGAAATGCGACGGTCAATACAACGAAATGGCCGTCCCTGGCGCGAACGGCTTCCATGGCGCTTCTCCTGCAGCCGTGCCCGCGCCGGCCGCCAGATAGCGCGCCAGGATCACAAATGAGCCCGCCCCCCCCCCCCCCCGGCCCCGCCCTGGGTGCCCACTGCCCCTCCCTCGCCTCCCGGTCCGGGCATCGCGGCGCCTCCCTTGACCACGTGTGCAGAGTCGCCCCCAGCCCGCGCCCTAAAAGGGCTCCTGCAGGCTGCCTCTTGGACCAAGGCTGGTCCGAGACCGGTCCGCGAGCTGTCCGGAGCGGGGGTGTGGACGTGCGGGGAGCGCAGCCGGCCGGGACCCGGGCGGGCGGTGAGACCCAGTGATGGCGACAATGCTGGAGGGGGGCGAGGACCGCGGGGACGGATGGCCAGACCCTGCGGAGCGGGCAGCCTTGCCCTACTGGGTTACAAAGCAAGGTCAACTGTCCCAAACTCTCTGGACGCTGGCCTACTCCTCCTTGGTCTTGTGCCATCACACACATAGAGAGATGCAGTATGTGTAGTGGTTAAGGCGTGGGCCCAGGGTCTTGGGTTCAAATCCAAGCTCTGTCACTTAAACTAGCTCTGTGGCCTTGGGCATGTTACTCAACTCCTTTGTGCCTCGGTTTCCTCACCTGTAAACTAGTGGCAAAACCAGCACCATCGAGATGCCTGCTTCCCCCAAACTGTTCAAGGACACTGGGGATTTAATGGTCTAGATAGCCTGTCCTTTCCCCGCTAAACTTTATTAGATTTTTACATCTAAAACACATGCGGTTTTCCTCCTTGCTATGTTGCAAAGTCATTGCTTTTCTGGTTAACGTTCTGCGTGAGGAGCAGGTGACCTTTGGACACATTTACTCACTGCTGGCAGGGTCGTCACCCAGTGGAGGAATGTACTGAGAGCAGGAAGAGGGCCGTTCTCGTCCTGCAGAGAGTGTGGTTGTGTCGGGAGTCAGCAGTGGCTGGAGTGAGCTCCTGGCTCCTTGAGCTGGGTACAGCCGGAAAGCAGGCTTCACATAAACCAGCTCTCGGATGGTCCTGGGGCTACTGGAATGGATGACCACACACTGTGTGGCTTAGGACAACAGAAATCGATTCCCTCCCAGTTCTAGAGGCCAGAAGTCTGAAATCAAGGTGTCGGCAGCGCTGTGCTCCCTCTGTGTTTCTCTGTGTGCTCATATCTTGTAGCTGTATCTTCACACAGTATCTTCCCCATGTGTGACTCTCTGCTCTCCCCTTCCATATGACACCACTCAAGAGGGCTCAGGATTAGAGCTCACCCTTTGATTCTGTTCACCGATAACTTCTGCAAAGAAAAACCTGATTTGCCCAAACAAAGTCACATTCACAAGTACAGGGTTTAGGACTTCAACAGATCTTTTGGGAAGACACAATTCAATCCACAATTCAGGATCTTGGTTAGGACAACCTCTACCACCGTACTTCTGCAGAGGACATGGGGTGGCGGCGGGACCCTGATTAAGTCCATGGTACAGGTAGGTCAGGGCCACCGGAGTCAAGGGCCACACTCTGGAGGCCTTCTAGGTTTGTCTTGAGCATCATGCTGCTGAGGGCCGGTGTTTTGTGGGCAGCCCACTGGTGGTGTCTGGGTGGAAGCAGTACAGGGGCAGGACGCTGATGGGGTGTTCCCCACAGTTATCGGGGTGTCACACCCACTTGCCTGCAGTTCTGCCCAGGCAGCTGGAGGTGACAATCAGTTTGTTGTGCCAGCTGGGATATTTGGTTTCCTGGACGTGAGGGTGAAGAGTCGCACTGCTTTCAGGGGAGACTTGGGAAAGTGTGGCTGCTGCGCCCCTTGTTATTGCAGCTTGAAGGCAGGGATGCTTCCATGAAAACAGTCCCAGCTGGCAGGAGCTGCTTGTGTGGTCTTGCTGCAGGGTGCTCCCCACCCCAGCGATTAGAGGCAGTCCTCTTACTGATGATACTGGGAGAATTGAGTTCAGGGTGAACCAGGGTCGAGGTGATGGGGAACTTGATTATCATTTTTCTGCAGTGTTGGCCTTGTGATACCAAGAACCAGACCCCATCTTTGCCCCTGACCCAGTGGATGTAGGACACTGGTGTTCGAGGCCACCAGGCAGGCGCCCTATCTCACAGAAAGCAGTGCCTCAGCACTCGGGGTAGGGGTGGGGGTGGGGGGGCTGCAGGTGTAGGCTCGGCCAGCAGCCTTTCCTCTCTCCTGTGGTAGCAGCTGCGAGAGTAGGGTGCAGAGGTGAAGCGAGGCTTACAGGAGCCGCACCATGGCTGGGGAGGGAGGACAATCCTGAGAGCTTGCTGCCCAGGACAGTGGGGGCCAATTCTTGCTTGCCGATTAATGGGGGAGCATCAGAGACCCAGTCTCAATCTAGGATGTGTGGAGACTGCCTTTGTCAGGAGGTAGCGGTGCCCGGGTCCTCCAAGGAGGAGACGGCTGCCTGCTCGTGGGGTGGGGCTGTGCCTGGGTGCTCTCTGCCTCACCCTCACAGAGACGGTCCCTCCGTGCACCCGGGAGGTGCACAGACAGTGTGGGGTGGGGAAGTAAGGCGAGGTCCCACGGCACTTGCTCCCTAAGGGTGTTTGTCCTTCCTCAGTGCCTTCTCTGGGTATGAAGAACAGAAAGACACCACCAAGCCCGGAGAGGCCTGGCAGGAATGGCCCGCAGCCCTGAGAGGAAGTCAAGGAGAGCCAGCTGCCCCCAGTCCGCAGCCCACAGACACCAGCGGCCCGGAGGAGCCGAGCAGCCCCCGGAGACCCGAGCAGCTCATTGAACTGGAGGGTCACTCTGGCAGGTGAGGACTGGGGTCATGGGTGGCCGGGATTGTTGCCAGGGGCCGCAGCCGGGTGTGGACTGCTTTTCCCCACTGTCATGCCAATGCTGGATGATCCGCACCCTGTCGTGGGTCACTCCCTGAGCTTGGAGCAGTGGTGGAGCTGGGGCAGGGGCCTGTGAGGAGAGCCGGGGTCTGTCCCCAGGTGTAAGAGGCCCTGGCCCATTCCTGACACCAGGCAGGAGGGAGACACTGGCTCCCGGGGTATATGTCTACTACAGGGTGGCACTCAGGTAAACCATTGCCATTGAGTCGATTTGGACTCATAGCGACCCTATAGGACAGCATAGAACTACCCCACAGGGTTTCCGAGGGGTGGCTGGTGGATTCGAACTGCTGATCTTTCTGTTAGCTGCTGAGCTCTTAACCACTGCGCCACTAGGGCTCCCGGCGTCCAGGTAGGTGAGGGCTATTTGTGGTAGAAATGGCTGTTGGCTGAGGATGACGGGGTGTGAGAGCACAAGTGGGAGAGAGTGACAGCGTGAAGCTGAGAAAGAGAGGTGAGGGTGACAGTGGCCGTGATGCTGTGGCTGCCAGTGTGTCAGTGTGTGTGAGCGAGACGACAAGCGCCTGTGCGACCGTGATGGGAGGGGACTGTGGGGTGTGGGGTGAGGTTTTAAAGTCAGAGCTCTCCTGAAGGCAGCTGGCCCACTGGCCGGGACCTTGCGTGTCCCATACGGACACAAGAGCAGAGACTTAAAATACAGGGGCTTGTACTGTTCGGTGATTCCCGTGAGAGCTAATGGAAGCTCTGAGCACTTCTGCAGATAAAAGCAGGGTCTACTGCTAGGAGACAGCCCAGGAGGTGGTGGGGTCAGGCGGCTGGTCCGCTGTGGCCAGCAGGTGGCAGGTACCTATGGCGCCTCTTCAGGGATAAAATAAAATGAAATGAAAATGCTGATGGCCGTGGGGCTTCTCCTAGCACAGAGGCTCCAAAATTAGGTAGGTCACAGGCTATGTTTAGGGCCAGGCTCACCTGTTATATAGCAGGTTTTCTTAAGAGGAAACCCTGGTGTCCTAGTGGTTAAGAGCTACGGCTGCTAACCAAAAGGTCGGCAGTTCAAATCCACCAGGTGCTCCTTGAAAACTCTATGGGGCAGTTCTACCCTGTCGTATAGGGTTGCTATGAGTCGGAATCCACTTGACGGCAACGGGTTTGTTTGTTTGTTTTTGGTCTTATTTAAGAATATCCAACCCATCTGGCTTAGTCTCCTAGTGCTGCTGTAACAGAAATACCATGAGTAGAAATGTACCGTGTCACAGTTCAGGAGGCTGGAGGTTGGAATCCAGGGTGTGGCTCTTCTTTGTCTATTTCGGCTTCTAGTAACTGCCAGCAATACTTGGAGTTCCTGGGCTTGTGGGTGGGTCCTCACATGGTGTCTGTCTTCCCCCTGTGTGTGCCTCTGTGTCTCTTCTGCTCTTTTTATAACTCAGATCGATTAGGTTTAGAATCCAGCCTACACTGGTATGACCTCATTAACATAACAAAAGAAATCCCTATTTCCAAACAGGGTCACAGCCATGGGTACAGGGGCCATATTTAGGGGATACACAATTCAGTCCATTACAGAGAGGAATGATGCGTCGCTTGTCAGGCTGGGAGCAGGAAGTGCACGGGCCCAGCTCAGCCCCAACTCTCCCCATCTTTGGAAGCCAACATGTGTGCGGAGCACGCATTCTCTGCTTCTCTCCACAAGCTCCCAGGGACAGCTCCACACGTGATGTCACCACTGGTTGCCAGGGGAATTAAGCACATGCTGTGTGGCTCCACTGGCTCAGGCGATTCTCAGGATAAGCTGATGAGGGGGCCCGTTGCTCGGGCCTGGGGGCAGCTAAAGTTCAAGGGCCTGCGGGGAGGAGTGACGTCTGACTAAAGTTTGGTCAAACTGAGGCAGAGGGTTTCTGGCTGGAGACTCTGAGGAACAAGGGGTAGGGTCAGCAGGCTTGCCTACATATAATGCCAACGGGTAGCCTCATGGGCCTCTGCCCCTCCCTAAACTCGGCATGCCCCAAGCCAAACTCAGTATCTGTCTTAGTTTCTTAGTGTTGCTATAGTAGAAATACCACAAGTGGGTGGCTTTAATGTACAGAAACTTATTTTCTCACGGTTTAGTGGGCTAGAAGTCCAAATTCAGGGCACCGGCTCCAGGGGAAGGCTTTCTTTTTCTGTCAGCTCTGGGGGAAGGTCTTCGTCTCTTTCAGCTTCTGTTCCTCGGTTCCTTGGTGATCTTCACCGGGCGTGTATCCTCCTCCCCTCCGTTTGTGCTTGCTTCTCTGCACCTTATCTGCTTAAAACACCCTACACTGAGATGGCCTCTTTAACGTAACAGAGAAAACCCTATTTCCAAATGGGATCACATCCGCAAGTATAGGGTTTCGGATTTACAACACATAATTTTGGGGGGGGGGCACAATTCAATCCATGACAGCATCTTTCCCAACACACTGTCTCACCAAAAACAACAAAATAACAAACAAAACCAATTCATGAATAAATGAATTTTGCATCTCTGTGTCCGTTATCTCAACAAATGGCATCACCGTATTCACCCAAACTCGCAAGCAGGGGGGTAGAAGAAGATAATGAGTTATGTTTGGGACACGTTGAGTGTGAGACACCTATGACATATGTACGGGGCAAGGTCCAGGAGGCAGATGAATGGACTAATGGGACCGGAGCTTAGGATGTGTGTCGGTGGTAACCGAAGCCATGGGAAAGAGTAAAATTGCTCAGGGAGTATGCGCAAAGTGAGAAGAGACGAAGAGGACATTGGAATCCTAAAGCAACACCCATATTAAGAGGTAGGGCAGAACAAGAGATGAGTGAATGGCCAGAGAGGTAGGAGGCCAACCAGAAGTGTGCTTCCTTGAAGAAAAAAGGAAAGGTTCAAGGAGGGAGAGTAGCCAACTGTAGCAGCTAACTCGATTTGGCTAAAAGAATGTCTAGAGGAATGTGATCTGTAAAGTGACTGGGGCCCCCATGAGAAGTACAGAAGCTGAGAGTTGGCATTTGTCAGCTTTTATAGCATTTTACCATTGCCAGGACATCCAAGCCTGTGGTCAGTAGACTCATCGGGGTGAGCAGGGTAGCAGCGAGTTTGGGTGTTGTCGTGCGGGAGCTGCGTGTAGGAAAAAATAGCGGCCCCAGATGGATGGAGGAGGGGAAGTCCTCCGGCATAGACAGTTTGAGGAGCTGTAGCAACTTCAGTGGAGCGTTGATGGAGAGAAGGGGACGAGGAAGTGACAAGAATGAGTACAGACAGCTCTCTGAAGCAGTTTGGCTGTTGGAGGGGCAGCAGATGGATGAGAGCAGTGGCTGGAGGAGCGCTGGAGCTGAGAAAAGCTCACTTGTTTTAAATGGGACGTGTAAATACTGAGTCTCGCCCCTGCTCCCACCCCCATCTATTCCCAAGGGTCAGGACTGCAGGGTCTTTTGTGTAAAGGCTGTCACGTGATAGGTGGGGGGCCGAGTTCGATCCTGACGGCCTATTTTCAGCTGCAAGCCGACCACCCATATCCCAGCTTTTTCAGCTGTAAAAAGGGGATGGGAGTGCTACTGCCTCATAATAATAGTGACTACTTCACAATAAAGAAGATTGGGAGGTCCTAGCTGCCAAAACAAACAAACAAAGCCCTTGCCGTCGAGTCGATTTCTACTCATAGCCCAAAGGCGCCAAAAAAGGTTTGCGCCTGCGCGGGTGTAGTCCGGGCGCGTGCGCTCCCGCCAGATTCGCGCCAGGTTTGCGCAGATGCCCATCCTGTGTGCGCCAGAATCGAATGTTGTGCGCCTGCGCGCTTGTGCGATTCCAGCAGCCGCGGGCTGGGCCGCAGTGCCCGCCGGGAAATGCGATGGTTAAACGCGCGAAATGGCCTTCCCGGGCGAGATTGGTTTCCACGGAGCTTTTCCTGCCGCTGCCCGTACGGGCCGCCAGATGGCGTGCCAGGATCACAAATGATCCCGAGCCGCTCTTCAGGCCCCGCCCGTCTGGGGATTTCTGGTTTTCATGGTGTTCTCCCCTTTTTCGGGTCACCGCCCCTTTAAGACTCTAGTGAACACGACAGTTCTCCCAGACAATGTCCACTCTGCACGCACTCCCTCCCCACCCTCCCCAGGCCGCCAGTGCAGCCTGGGGGAGAAGTGCCTTTCCAGAGAGCTGGGCCCCACTGCACTCATAGGGTTTCTGACGCCACGGCCAGAAGACGGGGCTTGGGTCATTCTAGGCAGGGCGATGGGCAGGGGGTAGGGAAGGCCTGGGGACAGGAGGAATGGGAGTGGGAGGAGGGGGACTGTGTTTCCAGTCAAGCAAAGAGCTTGTCTGTAACAACCGCATTGAAGTCTTCAGGCGCACTTGGAGACTGCCTTTGTCAGGAGGAAGCGGTGCCCGGGTCCTCCAAGGAGGAGTTGGCTGCCTGCTTGTGGGGTGGGGCTGTGCTTGGGTTCTCTCTCACTGTAAGGGAGACAGTCCCTCCGTGCACCCAGGAGGTGACAGTGTGGGATGGGGAAGTAAGGCTTGGTCCCACGGCACTTGCTTCATAAGGGTGTTTGTCCTTTCTCCTTCCTCAGTGCCTTCTCTGGGTATGTAGAACAGAAAGACACCACCAAGGCCAGAGAGGCCTGGCAGGAATGGCCCGCAGCCCTGAGAGGGAGTCAAGGAGAGCCAGCTGCCCCCAGTCCGCAGCCCACAGATGACAGCGGCCCCGAGGGACCGAGCAGCCCCCGAGTACCCGAGCAGCTCATTGAACTGGAGGGCCACTCTAGCAGGTGAGGACTGGGGGGCGCGGGTGGCCGGGATTGTTGCCGGGGCTGGGCATGCCCAGTACCCTCTGCAGGTGTGAGTGGCAGAGCAGAAATGACCATCCCAGCACTAGGAGTGGGCTCGGAGCCACGTGCCCAGGTAGTGCAGGCAGGCACGAGAGGACGGCAGAGTCGTGTTGGCTGGCAGCTGGTTGGAGCCAGAAGGCTTGCGTGGGGAGAGGGCCACAGGGTGGCGTTACCATTCGTGGAGGTCAGAGGTCCCTCTTTGAGAAGCAAGCATGCCCTGGTGTGAATGGGATTTGCTGTGGGGGTAAAGACTACCGTTGGATGAGCTTGCGCACCCTTACCCCGGCTAAGCACGGCCCCAGTGCCCCTAGGGCAGTCAGGGCTGTGTGCTCTGCTAGACGGTTGTAGAGGACCACTAGCTGGAGGTCCTGGGGGTTTCTGACGATGATGGTGGTGGTTTTGGTAAGATGTTTTACAGTCTCAGGTACTTTCTGGAGCAGAACATGGAAGATGCGGGGGTTCTGGCAGCTTCTAGTGGCCCCCGCGGCCTGGCCGTGCAGGGGCAGCGGATCCTAGGGCGGGGCTGTGGCTGTGAGAGGCTGGCAGCAGCAGCCTGGGGAAACAGCTGAGGGTTTTCTGGGAAAGGTCAATGACAATGTTGGCTCACCACCTTGTCAGAGAACCCAGTGCTCGAGACCCCGACTGGTGTGGCACTGGGGTGGGAGGAGAACAATCAAGGTCTGGTATGTGCGTCACTTTCTAAAACCTCGTCACATGCAGCGGACTGGCCTGCAGTGCCCCTGAATGTGCCTTTGCAGATAACACCACCTCCTCCCCAGGAAGGATCCGCCCCCTTCCTCCAATCTCCAGAGTGTGCTCCTGTGGCACAGGGTAGCTGGGTGCATTGAGGCGGGAGGGCTTTCTGGAGGAGGAGGTGGTGCTGCCTGCATGTTACCTGTTGCCGTCAAGTGGATTCTGACTCAAAGTGACCCTATAGGACAGAGTAGAACTGCCCCATAGGGTATCCAAGGAGCACCTGGTGAATTTGAACCGCCAACCTTTTGGTTAGCAGTCGTTAACCACTATGCCACCAGAAGCCAAAATCAGTCTAGGGCTGACTCAAACGTAGCGTGCCCTGCAGTGCTGGCCTAAGGCCACTGGAGGGCAGGCAGGCCTGAGCTGGCAGGTACAGGGGGCAGTCAGTGGTGGTGCTCAATGGAGGCCCTAATGGGTGGTGGGCAGCTGTGGCCACTTTTGGTGTGGGACTTGCAGTCGGGAGTAGGATAAGCAAGTGCAAGGAAGGGCATGGCCGCTGAAAGGCCTTGTGGGTGCGCTGGGAGGTTGAGTCCATCCTGAGGGCCGTGTGGGGTGGCCGAGGAGTGGCTGTTCAGAAAGTCATAATCCCCATCAAGTCCCCGCCTGTGCCTGCCTTCCTCCGTGATGCCTAAATTCAGCCAGCCGTCTGCTTTTTAGCCTTGTGTTCTCCAGAGAGTTCTCTGGCAGCTGGGATGGGGTGATCCTAGGAGGGGATTGTCCCATCCAGTCAGGAGGGGGGCTGAGTCTTCCCACGTTACACCCAGAGTACAGTGGTCCAGTGCCTCTCCTGACTGGTACGTCCCAGGGTGACCCCATGGTTCCACTTGAGCCCAGTGAATCAGGGACCAGGGAAGGAGTTCTGGGTGGAGACTGGAAGACTGGGTCTTGTCACTGACTCCCTGCAAAAAGAGGGTCCGTTCTCTGGCCTCTGATGAGCCTTCAAGGCCAAGTCCATTAGCTCCCAGTAGCCCGTTGGCTCGGGCTCAGGTGCGGTCCTAGGCCCCCCAGCACAGACTCCTGTTTGTGGCCCTAGATGCAGCTCCTCGGACCCCTCCCCGTCCCAAGGAAGAAGCTGACGTGGCACTTTCTAGGGCATGGATGGATGTTGGCACTGCCATCAGAGAGCCTCACTGATATTCCTGGGGAGCGGGCCTGGGAAGCCGCTGAATGCCCCTCTCTCCCCTCACCTCTCAGAGAAGAGGTGGTTAGTCTCTACAGGAAGTGATGGCCTTGCAGGGAGGCTACCGGGTGGGGAGGGTCAGCATAGAAGGGGGCTGCTCTTGTCCACAGGCAGCCCGGGACTGTCTAGGCCTCTGGAGGTCAGGAGTGAGAAGGGAGAGGTCACACTGGAGGTGGAGATCTTGCAGGGAAGGCCCAGAAGGGGAGGACCCCCAGCCTTGGATTGAGGCCTGGAGGACAGACTCATCTCGGGTGGGTGAAGGCAGCCTCGTCTCAGGTGGGGGAGGCAGCGTTGTGTGGAAAGCAAAGTAGAGAGAAGGGAGGGCTGGAGCCCAGAAGCCTGGGGGGAGTTGGGTGCAGGTGGCCTCTTTCGGGGCTCTCAAGTGCTAACCCACGGCTTCGTTTGAGCCCAGGTCCCTAAGAGTGCCAGCAGCCCAGCAGCTGTCGTCCGCGCGGCCTGGGAGCCGGGCCTCGGGCAGCTGCTGTGGGCCAGGCCCTCTCCTCGTGAGCCCTCTGGCTTACCTCCTCGGCTCTGCGCATGCTCTCTCTGCAGCAAAGGCCGCCTCTTCCTGAAGGAGTGCGCGGACGCCGGCGAGGTCTCTTCTGGGAAGCCGTCGTCTTCGCTCTACAGCGGGTAAGGGCACTCCCGATGCCTTCTGTTCCGGGGCCTTCCTCTATCAGGCTGGTGTCGTCCTCCACCCTGCAGCCCCTGAGGAGCTGTCGAGAGGACAGATGATGTCCTCGCCCAGTGAGCGACCAGGTGTTTCCACCTGCTTGCCTCGCTCGGTGCCTCCGAGTGTGGCCACCGTGCCGTTGCCGGCTGCTCCTCTCCGCCGCCACTGCTGCTTGGTGCCCGGCAGCCTTCCTCTTCTCCGGGGACCCTCTTGCGGAACACGGGGCTCCTCCCTTCAGTCCCCCACCCTTCCAGTTCGGCCAGATTGCCACGTTTGAACACACTCTGGACAACAGCTCCTGACGTCTGTGTAACTTGTCACTGGCGGTGTTTTCCACTGCTTGCTCCCTGATACTCCCCACGCTGAGATGGGGCCCTGGGGGATGGTCTTCATGACATCAGCCCCCTGCTAGGGAGAAAACTTTAGTGACAGAAAGGAGCATCCAGCCTCATCACAGACCTGCTTTCCACTGGAGCTGTGACTCCAGTTCAACCCCAGCTCAGCCCGCACCAGCTGGGTCATCTTGGCCAAGATGCTTAACCTCTCTGAGCTTGTTTCTACATCTGTAACTCTTGAGAGTGATTTTTAAAATAGTATTGCTGAGGTAGAGTTCACCTTTTGGAAGTATATAATTCAGTGGTTTTTAGAGTCTTCACAGAGTGAAGTTTCTGCATCCACCACCACCTTTGTCTCATTCCAGCACATTTTATCACCCCAAAAGAAACCCCCGACACATTAGCAGTCCCTCACATCACCACTCCCAGCCCCCGACAAGCTCTAACCTACTTTCCACCCCTCTGGCTTTGTCCCCTCTGGCTTTGTTCAGAGAAGTTTTGACATTAGAAGTAACGTAAGTGAAACCTCTGGCACACCCGTGGTGCCCATTGTCGTAGCCGTCTAGAATCCGTCTCTAGTTGGAGGTTTGAGTCCACCCAGAGGCACTGTGGAAGAAAGACCTGGTGATCTACTTGTGACAAATCAGCCATTGAAAACCCTATGGAGCACAGTTCTACTCTGACTCACGTGGGGTTGCCATGAATTGGACTTGATGGTAATTGGTGTTTAGGAGTCCCTGGGTGGTGCAAAGAGTTAATGAGCTCATCTGCTAACTGAAAGGTTGAAGATTTGAGTCTGCCTAGAGGTGCCTCGGAAGAAAGGCCTGGTCATCTACTTCCAAAAAATCAGCCATTGAAAACCGTATAGGGTGCAGTTCTGCTCTGACACACACGAGGGTGCCATGAGTCGGAGTTGACTCCAAGCAACTGGTTTTGGATTTACTTGTGTGAGAGTCACGTGACCAAACTGCACCCATCTCCTGGTGTCCCGCGAGAATAGCCCCTCCAGACTGGTAGCCCAGGGCTTGCGGCTAGTTAGTCGTCCCTCTCCAGCAGTGGTTTCTGGTTTTAGCTGTTAGTTTTTATTATAAACAGCCGTCTTCGAACGGAATAGGTGCGTCTGCACAGACAGAGAGCAATTGGCGTTGCCTAGGGGTGGGGAGGGAGAGGATCGGAGTGACTGCTTGATAGATCCAGGGCTTCCTTTCAGGGATGGAAAAGTTGTGGAACTAGGTAGAGTTGGTAGCCCCACGGGTATGATGTTAGAATGTTGCCTTCTCTTTTTTCCTATCCCCAGTGCCTGATTGCCGATGGGCTTCTGACAAACGTGGGGAGAAGAGCCCTACCCCTTCCCCACGGGGCAGGGCAGCTGGGATCCTCCTGTCCTAGCCACCCCCAGCCCACCATCTCCCTCACCCTGACAGGGTGCTTCTCTGACGGCAGCATGCCTCCTGGGCATCCGCTCCTGGGACACCACGGCCTGCTCCTGTTGTGAAATTAGCTTCAAAGTCTCCCCTGGCCATTTGGGATAATGTAGGGTGGCTGGCAGCGCCAAGCCCTGTCTCAGCCTTTCGTCACAGGGCTGGTCAGAAAGTGCCGCCGCTCATTACTGGGGTGGTGACCTGGCTCCCCGCTTCTGACCTCCTCACCCCTGTCACTTCCTGCAGTGTCAGCGGCGGAGAGGACGTGTTTGACGCGGTGGAGAAGCCCCCACACGACAACACTCCCTACTCTGAGAGGTGCGTCTTCTTTCTCACCGAAGCGCTAAGGGAGATGTGGCCGCAGGAGAGGCCTGAGGCCAGCAATTAGAATCTAATTGAACCCTTAATCACCTTGCAAATCTGACCAGAAGCAAAACAAACAAAACTACACAGAAGACAGGACATCAGTGGGTAGAGGATCAAGAAAACTGGCTTCGCACCCAGAAGTCAAATGGGGAAAGAAGCACCAGCTCCTGAAGCGCCTAGAGCCGCGGGCGGGCGGGGGCAGGGCCGTGGGTGAGCGGGGGGGGGGGGGGGGGGGGGCGTTTTTTGATGCTGCCACAGTCAGGGTGGTCCTAGCAAAGATGATTTCCCGCTTTAAAATCCTTGGAAGAGCAGAGAAAGGGGCTTTGGAGATTTTGTCACTGATTTCTCAGTGAAAGACACAGGTCTGCTACAATGCAGCCTGCCTGTAGTGGCACGGCAAGCAGATTCCGCGGCTTCTCCTCTGCCTTGGTGACAGAAGTCCTGTGGTGGCTACTAGCAGGCCAAGGGTCAGTTGAGGGGGAGAAAGGAAGGAAGTGAGAGAGTTCGATGCCAGGAATCCCCCCCGGCTCGCAAGGGCAGCCAGGTAGAGGGCCAGGTGGGCCCTGAGCAGCCATGGGTCACTCGGGGAGTTATATCACACAGAGAAAGGTGGGTGGGCGGGGCCTGAGAATTAGCCATTCTAGAGGAGCAGATGGAATGAGGCACCCATTCTCCAAAGGACGGCAGACCAGACTCCCTGGGTGCCTCCCCCTGCCACTCCCGCCCAACTGCAGAAGCACTCCATCCCGAATGAAACATTTTTGATGAACTGCTGGGCTTGCAGGAAGTCAGGGGACTCTCCAAGGACAAGACCAGTCACTCACGTACATGCCTGTGCAAACACACACACACGGAATAACCGTAAGCTGGGCCTGGGAATGGGGAGGAGCAGCCTGGGCCGAGACTACATGTCCTTAGCATGCTGCTGTCAAAGAGACTGAGGCCTGGGCCAGCAGTGGGACAGGGGGGCCCTTGAAGGGGGCTGAAGTAGTTCTGGGTTGACAGCCACAGACACAGATCTCTGGAGGAAAGCCCCCTCACTTGGGCCCGTAGGATGGAGGTGGGCAGATGGGGAGGCTCAGGTGCAAAGGCGGGAGTCCAGGATCTAGAATATCACCATCAGAGCTGAGCAGGCCCTGCAGCCACACCGACTGTGGGAGTTCTCAGAGATCCTGACCAGACTAATGGCAGGGGGGCCCAGGAGTGTGGGGCTGGGGGCAGAGCCTGAAGAGAGGGTTATCAGGACTGGGATCCAGGTGGGACTGACAGGCCTCCTGGAGAAGGACAGGGAGAGGCAAGCTGCCTGGAATAAGAACCACCTCAGGGTGCTCACACACACGTGGCTTGCTGGGTCATAGAGGAGGCTGAAGAGACATGATTGGTTTCTGGAAATAATGTGAGGGTCTCCAGCAGGCTGAGGCCCCACCTGCCCAGGACTGTGCTCTGGGGAAGCTGCTACAGGTCACACACCCCAGAGAAAGATGGCAGCCTGGTGGGTCACCCCAGAGGTCTCTATGCCAACCTAACTACTGGGATCTTGTTTTTCATCTTCTAGAACAACTGAAAGGCTCTGTACATACTGCAACTGTGAGATTCGAGACTGTCCAAAGATCACTCTGGAACATCTTGGCATCTGCTGCCACGAATATTGCTTTAAGGTGAGGAAGAGGCGCGTCTTGGTTTTCTAATGCTGCTGTACCAAATACCACAAATGGGGGAGCTTTAAAGAACAGAAACTTATCGTCTCACAGTTCCAGAGGCCAGAAGTCCTGAGTCACGGTGTCGCCAGGGCCACAGTCTCTCTCAGCTTCTGGTAGCCCAGGTGTTCCTTGCCTTGTAGATGTATCTTCACACGGCTGTCATCTCTCTGTGTGTCTTCTCTCTTATAAGGACACCAGTCAGGTGGGATGAGGACGTCATGTTAACCTACTGATAACATTTTCAAAGACCCTATTCCCAAGCAAGGTCACATTCAAGGTACCTGTGTCCTAGCCTGGCCTGTAGCAGAAGGGGGCTACCGCTGCAGATAGCTGGCTGTGGTCATTCATTAGGCATTCACAGGAGAGGCAGCTTCGAGAGTGACAGGAGGGTGGAGGGGCTGTCCTGCTAGGGTACCCTTCCCTGTCTTGCTGTTCCTAGTCCCCATAGCCCCCACCGGCTGCCCAGCTTGGACCTTTCATTGGACCTTAACTGTCACCGTTAATGGTCCCCAGCCCCTCTTACAACAGCAGTGACAGCTGGCTCTTCCTGAGCGCTCACTGCATGCCTGGCCCCTGGCTGGGTGCTCCACAGGGGCCACTTCACCGAATTCTCTGAGCAACCTGGAGAAGGCGGGCCTGCTAGCACGCCCATTTTAGAGATGACCAACAGGGACTCCAAGCGTCAGTAACTTGCCCAGGCTACACAGCTTAGGATTTTGTGTGTGTGTGTTTCTGAGGTTTGGGTTTTGTTTCTGCTTTGAAGTCCAGGCTGTGACACGTTTGTTCATTTGGAAGTCGTGCTATCACGGAGGAGCCTTGGCTCGGTGTGTTGCTCTCTAGCTTAGTGTCCAGTATCTGCGACTGTTGCTTTCTTTTCCAGTGTGGGATTTGCACTAAACCAATGGGTGACCTCCTGGATCAGATCTTCATTCACCAGGACACCGTCCACTGTGGGAAATGCTACGAGAAGCTTTTCTAGGTGGGTGCCGGCACCCCAAAGATCAAGCAGCCACAAAACACATTTGGGGGAAGAAATCTGCCTGGTCTCTTCCTGAATCTAACGTGGGGTGTAGCCTTTGTGCGTGGAGGTCGGAGTCCCTGTGTCCCTAGGCCCTATGATACTTTGAGGTCTCAGGTGTTCTGGATAGAGACCCTCCCTGGGGACACTTCCAAGGTTTAGGGGCCGCTGTCTCTTCCTCACAGGACGCTCCTTCCACCCAGCCCCTCAGCCAAGCCTCCCCACTGCCCTGGGATGCCAGTTGGGTGTGTGTGGTTAGCCCCATTTTGAAACAAACAAGTAAAGACAGAAAGGGAAGGGGCTTGGGAAGTCATATAGCTCATTCATGGCAGAATCAGACCTCACCCCAGGCCATAGCTCCAGATCTGTCCTCGGCAGCCAAGGAGTTCAGGAAAACAAGATGCAGCTGTGGGGCAGAAGCTGGCAGGGATGGCAGAGATGGTGCTGTCTTTCTGGGGCTGACCTGAAGCCAGAGCTGCATGCTAAAAGCATTGCATGGGGCCCAGTCCCCACAGTATGCTACCTTTCTGGAACTTTGCAGCCCCTCCACTTCAGCAGCTTCTCAGCCCGAAGCACAGAGCAGAATATCTCCCTTGAAGGTGACTGGAACAGGTGGCACCCAGGCTCTCCACCAGGTCCCTGCCTGTTGCGCCTTCTCTCTGGAAGACACACGGAGCTGGGCCACGGCCCCTGACCGCCCGGGGCCTCACATTGCTCATGGGGTTGAATGCGTCGTTCCTTCCTATGTCATATTTCCTTGTGGTTTCTTTTGCGCCTGCAGGCTGAGAAGACACTGAGGACTTCCGGACAAGTCTGGCTGCCCCCAGCTGCCCTGCGCCTCCCCTCTCCCCGTTTGATTGCGTTACGCTTTTGCTCTCTGCAAGCTGAATTCGCTCACGTCCAGTATTGTATCTCGATGATCCTATGATAGTTCATTGCGCGTGTAGCTCTCGGTAGTTTATAAAGCACTTCACATTCATGATCTTATTTTAGGCTCCGTCAGGAGGATCGAACAAGAGCCCCATCTTGCTTCCTAATGAGTTGAGGTGGCCTGATAATTAGGCGTGGGCAACCGCTGAGCGACTGAGTGCCTGTGGCATTCTGGTCCACAGCTCTGAGTGGACCTCAGGGACATGAGAACAGAAAGATTCGCCTGAGGCTTTGGAGGGGCCAAGCAGAAGGCTGCTGGCGGTCCCTGGGGCAAAATGCAGAGATAATACTTAGCTTGTCCATTCGCCATCCACTTTGGAAGTAGCAGGTTTCAATGCCTCCACCCTGCCACGTACTGTTCTCTGTGTGAGTTGTCCGAGCAGGGGTGTGGGCCTGCACTGGGAGTACACACCATCAGATCGCAGCTCTCCAGGATGTGGCCTTAGGAGGTTCCTGACCAAAGGCAGGCGTCTGTGGGACTCTTGATGGCTGAGGAATGCCTTTGCCCCCCATTTCTGATCCCTAAGCTTCACACAGAAATGCCCTGAAGTAGGATTTAGGGTGTAGAGACCCTAGTAGGATTAAGAAGGGAGAAAAGCAACTCACATCTCTTGAGACCTGACTCCATAGCAGGCATTTTCACAGAATGATGGCAGAAATCCCTGTAGCTGTCCCATGAAGAGGGTAGTGTGGTCCCATTTTACAGATGAGGCACAGAGAGGTGGGCACTGCGTTGCCCTGTGCAGAGCCATCACTGCCTCTCTCCAGAGCCCACATCTCTCCAGTACTGGTTACCATAGCACTGAGCGTTGATCTCATGCCGAGGGTGTGCCAGGTACTGTGTGGAGGTGACCTAAGTCCCACCAGGCAACACCGCCCTCCTTGGCCCTCACCCAGGAATACGCCTACAGAGAGAGGAAGGGGTGACGTGGCCCTCCTCCTCCTCCCAGGGCCTCCTGGAATACCCCTGAGGTGCTACAAGGGCCAGAATCCTCCCCCCCACCCCGCCACTTCACATGCTGGGAGTGGATTTGACTCACAGCCCTCCCCAAAGAGGAGTCTCCCAGGGGCTGGCCATCTGAGCAGAGGGACTGGACTGGCTGCCAGTGGGCCCAGCATGGCTTTGTAAACGCTCTCGAGGAGGAGCAAGCTTAGAGGTTTTCTGATGGAAAATGAGGTCCTCCTCTATTGATTACATTGCAAAAGGCCCCTTCGTCTCTCCAGTTTCCAAGCCCAGTGCACAGTGGCTTCTGGGCTTGTTCCTCCTCCTGAGTGGGCAGAGGGGGACATTACGTTTATCTGTGTAGATGTACATCACACTGACTATGGAGGAAAAAGATAGTAAACGCTCCCCACACCGACACTGAACGTGGCCTGGCCTTCTGCGCGTCTAGCCCCCAGCATGGGACTTGGCACGTAGGAAGTGCCAGCCCACTCGCGCGGAATACGTGAGGGAAGGATTGGGAAGGCGCTCCTTTGGGTGGGGAGGTGCCAGCCCGAGTCTCAGCGCACGCCCAGCTGATGGACTCCAAGACACGGAGACCCAAGAGAGGCTGGCCGCCCCGCCTTTAGGGAGGTGTTAGAACCAGCACACAGGACATTGAGAGAAAGCTTACACTTCAAAGTTGATTTTGATCCCAAACAGACTTGCTCGTGTCTCCAAAGGCCCGGAATTCTGCAGACGTCAGGAAGCGGGCTGGGTGCATTACGTTTTTCCTTCCTTCTCGTTGCCTGGTGTTTCTAATCAGACTTCAACTTAACCCACCTTAATGTACACGATGATAATAAATGGTATTACGAGTCAGTGTTAAGGTTTCATTGTTTAAGTGTAATAGTTTGGGGTATTGGGCTGTGTGGTTTCTTCTCCTGTTCCCGGAAACCATTGTCAACAAAAGCAAACAAACACTCTAAGAAGTATTAAATCGAGAGAGAAACAAACGATTTGTCATTTACACAAGTGTACAACTCAGTGACAGTCATTACGTTCCTAATGTGCAACCATTACCACTATGCGATAACTCCCCCTCCCCCGGCCCCGGGAACCTCTCATCTACGTTTTAGGCTCCTAACATCTTAACGAGGACTGTTTTATTCTCTCAGGTCCATCCTCCCCGTCAGGACCTCCTTCCGGTGACCAGGAGCTCAGGCCCTCATGAGCCCATCCTGTCCGTGGACAGCCCAGCTGAGGGGAAATCTGCTTCCCTTTGTCACCCGCTGTAGCACAGTGGTTAAGAACCACGGTGAGCTATGACTGCTAACCCAAAGGTCGGCAGTTTGAATCCACCAGGCGCTCCTTGGAAACCCTACAGGGCAGTTCTACTCTGTCCTGTAGGGTCGCTATGAGTCGGAATGGACTCGATGGCCAGCCCCTAAAATAGATGACTTCTCATGTTCCCCTCTTCTCCCAGCTCACACTCTGGTCCCTTCAACTCAGCCTGGACAGTAATTCTGAATACACGTCTCTCAAAGGCCCTCCTCAGAGGTGCCCCCACTGGAACCCAACCCCCCTGGGGTGTACCAATCCCCAAGCCCGCGTCATGAGGGCTCAGTACCCTAGGCTGTCAGTACCCTGTTGAACTTTCATTCTGCCTGTCAACTGAGCTGTGCTTCTGAGTCTTGTATCTGAAAATGCAATCTGCAGGCATCAAACCCAGGGACAAAAAGGGTGACCAAGAAGGCCAGAGATAGAAGACATGGCACTCAGAGAGCTCCCTCCACCACTGAGCAGCGACCTCGGGCTCCGGTGTTCAGTAGCTGAGTCCATCTAGCTACTTTCTCACCCCAAACGTGGGCACCAAGTTGGCTCCAAAGGGCACAACCGGGAGAGGGTGGGGGAGGTTTCGCTGCCTGCACAATCGATCACTGCAGCAGTAGCTTCTAACTGGCTCTTCCGGGGACTCTCAGTTGGTGACAGTGCGTGGCATAAAGACCTAAAGGAAAAATAGGGTAGTGTCCTTTTTAAAAGTCACTTAGCATACTCTAGCAAGAAAATATCTATTGAGCATTATGTTCTGTTAAGCACTATATGGCATCAAAGTGACAATAGCACTTGAAAGATTAGATAGGAAACTTAGGGGAAGAACAGCTTAGAAAAGGAGGGTGGGGATGTAATCAATGTCACTGAATTGTACATGTAGAAACGGTTCAATTGGCATATGTCCTGCTGTGTATATTCTCAACAACAACGACAAATTAAATGAATTAAAAAAAAAGAAAACCCTATGGCGGACAGTTCTGGTCTGACACACGAGTACAGTCCATTGTGGTCAGAGAACACACTTGGTAGGATTTCATTCCCTGTAAATGTACCGGGGCTGCTTTTATGGCCTTGTGTTTTGCTTAGGAGGAGCCCTGGTGGCGCAGTAGTTAAGCACTGGGCTGCTAAACGAAAGGTCAGCAGTTTGAACCCACAAGCCGCTCTGCAGGAGAAAGATGTGGCGGTCTGCTTCCGTGCAGATTATACAGCCTTGGAAACCCCGTGGGGCAGGTCTACCCTGTCCTCTAATATAGCCATGAGTTGGAATCGATTCGACAGCCATGGGTGTGGGTTTGGTTTTTGCTTTGCTTAGAATGTGCTCCGCATGGACAGGGCCTTCTGCTGGAGAAGTGCCTACCTCTGAAAGCTGCTCCATGTTGCTCGTCACCCATAAGGCCCACTGCACACTGTGCTCTGCCTGGAAACACCCTGCTTGTGGGGGCCATCTGGTTGTGCACGTCTCTTGCACCCGGCCCTCTGCCTCTGCTGGGGAACGTGGTACTCACAGGGCTGCTCGGTCACCTTCGTGCCACGGCCCCTGCTGGTGAGTCCCTCACACAAAGCTTTCTCTTAGGAGCTGTCCTGATCAGTGTCCTCTGCTTGCAAGTGCCCTCTGCAGGACTCTTAGCCTTCAAATGCCCTTGTTTCAGCGTCTCTGACCATGAACGGAGGAGGCCCGTGACTCCTGTCCCTGGAGGTCTTCTGCACACTTTCAGCTTGTCACTCCCCTGTAGTAAATGTCTGTCTGTCAATCACTCAGCAAGCATTGATTCAGTGTCCATCATATACCACCCCCCCCAC